CCTTTTCAAATTGAAAGTGAACATGTCTTTTCAATTTTACATTAAAAATGAACCTGACTTTTTAAATTAAAAATGAACTTCTTTTTTCAAATTTAATATTAAACTGTCCTTTCATTTTTACATTAAAAATGAATTTGTCTTTTCAAATTTAATATAAACTTGTCTTTTTAATTCTACATTAAAAATGAATTTGCCTTTTCAAATTGAAAGTGAACATGTCTTTTCAGTTTTACATTAAAAATAAATTCGTCTTTTTAAATTTTAAAGTGAACCTGTCTTTTCAATTTTAAAATGAACCTGTCTTTTCAAATTTACATTAAAAACGAACCTCTCTTTTTAATTTCAAAATGAACCTGTCTTCCTAAACTTAACCTAAAACTAATTCCAAAAACTTAATACCTAAAAAACATGTTGTATGAATGTTCTAATTCCACTCTAAGAAAGGTTCTGATTATTCTTGCTCTTCGTGAAGATTGCTCTATGATGATACAATGAACAATTTTATATACATCAAATTTAGTCGAACATTTCATCTCGATTTTTCGCAAAATGTAGAAAACTAAGTATTAAATCAACGAGGTACGCGGAGCCTTCGATGACGCAGAGGGATCCAACAGCTAAGCCAACCTGCGAATAAAAAGCGGTCAGTTATATAATGTTCAATACGAGCAGCGATCAATTTTATCCGGATCATAAATTCTATTGATTAGTGATTTATTGGTATTGGTAATTACCTGTCGTTCTTGGACAACCGTGTCGTACTTGTTTTCTGGTTGATAACCGTTCCAGTAATGGAGGGCTGTTCCTCCTACTGCGATGAACATGAAGGTCCCAACAAAATTCATCAGGATTTCCTAAAATATATAATAAATAATTAGTGATATAATCGATAGTATTGTATATTAATTTTCTTCAAACTCATTATTCAATTTTTTTCAATTTTTGTTATTAGATTTCTTCAAACTCATTATTAAATTTTTTTCAATTTTTGTTATTAGATTTCTTCAAACTCATTATTAAATTTTTTCAATTTTCTCAATTAGATTTCTTCAGTTTCGTTATTAGTAGATTTGTTAATTTTTTTTTATCTTGATCATTATTAGATTTTTCAATTTTTTTTTAATCTTGATCATTATTAGATTTTTTATTTTTTTTTACCATAAACATTATTAGATTATTTTTTTTTTTTTCTCTTGATCATTATTAGATTTTTCAATTTCTTTTTAATCTTGATCATTATTAGATTTTTTTTACATTATTAGATTATTTTATAATCATTATTAGATTATTTAATAATTATCATTATTAGATTATTTTTTATTTTTTTTTAGCTCGATCATTATTAGATTTTTCAAATTTTGTTTGATCTTAATCATTGTTAGATTTCTTGATTTTTTTAAATCTTCATCAGCATTAAATTTTTTAATATTTTTTTTAGCCTTGATCATTATTAGATTTTTTAAATTTTGCCAGAATTTAAAATTCTTACAACAAGGGTCTTTTTGTGATTGGTGCTCCCAAAACAGTAAGTGATGAGTACAACACTGGTGTATATGAAGAAGCCCACTAGAACACCAGAAGCCACGATTTCTGCATCTGGATTTTTATCTTCGTTCAAATTCCACGTGCCACCGACACCCAGAAACTCTCCATCCTTGTATCCTGTTCGGTACAGGATCAGGATTATGAGATTAATTACCTGAAAGGATAATTGACGTCAATAAAAGATTACTATACAATACTTGTTAACATTTGAACATTCTATTTGAAATTTTTCAGTAGTTGAATTTCTGAATTTAGAAATTTTCGATTACCAAATTTTGACAATACAGAAATTTTCGATTACCAAATTTTTACAACTCAGAAAATTTCAATTACCAAATTTTAACAATTCAGAAATTTTCGATTACCAAATTTTGACAACTCAGAAAATTTCAATTACCAAATTTTGAAAATTCAGAAATTGTCGAAATCTTGAAAATTCAAAAATACATTTGTAAAAACTGCAAGTTCTTAAATTCAGAAATTGACTACATATTGACAATTACTGACATGACTCATATAACACATTTAAGATAAATTTCCCAAATTCTTCAATAAAATAAAATTGAATAATTCTGAATTTCTCAACCAAAAACCTTAGTTTTCTTAACCAAAAGAGAATTATTTCTAGTAAAAATTAATACCACATCTATGACACATAAAAAGGGTGTCATATCGCACTGCAAACAGGGTTTCTTATCGTTCGACGATAAAGAACGAAATGAATCATAGAACCGCGTATAAATATTTCTTGAATGAGTACGATTATGGTGATACATCTACCATTAATTAATAAATCCGACGTTAATAACTTGACGATAAATCTTTATGAAACTTTCATATTAAATTTCAGCAAAATTTCTTGTATCTCGATATAAACATCTAATGATAATATACATCAATGGCTACTATACATCTAATCCACCTATCTTTGTAAGATAACTGTGGACAAAAATAGTTTTGGCGTAAACAATTTCTTTTTGCAAACACGACATTAATCTATGTAATCAATGTAATTTAACAAAATTATATTTTATTAAAATAAATAATAAAATAGTTTACAAAATTATGTTTTATTAAATTCTTTAAGTTATTCTTTAAATTCTGAAGAAGTAGATTTCTTTCATAGTATAATGTAATATTACTTAGAATGTGAAATATAATTTTTATTAAATTCTTTGGGTTATTCTTTAAATTCTGAAGAAATAGATTTTTTTCATAATAAAATGTAATATTACTTAGAATGTAAAATATAATTTTTATTAAATTCTTTGGGTTATTCTTTAAATTCTGAAGAAATAGATTTTTTTCATAATAAAATGTAATATTACTTAGAATGTAAAATATAATTTTTATTAAATTCTTTGGGTTATTCTTTAAATTCTGAAGAAGTAGATTTCTTTCATAGTATAATGTAATATTACTTAGAATGTGAAATATAATTTTTATTAAATTCTTTGGGTTGTTCTTTAAATTCTGAAGAAATAGTTTTTTTTTTCATAATTTAATGTAACATTACTTAGAATGTGAAATATAATTTTTATTAAATTCTTTGGGTTATTCTTTAAATTCTGAAGAAATAGATCTTTTTTTATAATAAAATTGCAATATTAATTACAATGCAACAACTTTCAATAAAACTTGAAGAAGCTGATTTTCCTCCAAAATAAAAACACCCTAAAAAAATATCTAAATACATAAAAATACTAAAATTCCACCCATTAAAATTATTTAAAATACCAAAATGTTATAAGCTTAAATTATTTAAAATACTAAAACATATACTTAAATTATTAAAAATACCAAAACGTCGTATACTTAAATTACTTGAAATACAAAAACGTCATATGCTAAAATAGAAATACCATAATGTCATATACTTAAATTATTAAAAATACCAAAACGTCATATACTTAAATTATTCAAAATACCAAAACGTCGTATACTTAAATTATTGAAATACTAGATGAAATTTTAAAATACTAAAACATCATATACTTGAATTATTAAAAATACCAAAACGTCGTATACTTAAATTACTTGAAATACTAGATGAAATTTTAAAATACTAAAACGTCATATATTTAAATTATTAAAAATACCAAAACGTCATATACTTAAATTATTTAAACTACAAAAACGTCATATGCTAAAATAACTCAAAATACTAAATAAAATCCTAGAACGTATAAATACAAATAAACTTGATATCCACGCAATATTCATCCACACATGTCCACCCGAATGACTCAACATCTACCGCACAATTTCCACAAAATAACGCGGTCTCACCAGCTTCAGAACTTTGATCACTATACTCGCGATAGTCTCCAGAGACACCATGATTTTCTTGCACGCGAATACTCGACGATGTAAAACAGGTGAACAAAATGAGTTTCACATCGCGTTAGATTCTTTTGACCCAGCACCAAGCCCTCTTTATCTAATCAGATGATAGAGCGTACGTCGAAAGAGGGATAAGGCGTGTAGAAAGGCACCTGCACATTCATACCACATTATCTCTTACGATAATGTTCGTTGGATCTCGAAATATAACGTTTATTGTCATTTTACCCTTTGCTTAATTTCTTTTACTCATCAATTTACGAAATGAGTGAAAAAAAAAAAGAAACGAAGATAATTTTTAATAAAATGTGTTGTGAGGGCCAGCATGTGGTTTTCATTTATTATAAATTATTTTATTTAACTCTCTGTACTTAATTTCTTTCACTCATCAATTTATAAAATAGATGAAGAAAAGGAAAAGAAGAAGAAAATTTTTAATAAAATGTATTGCAACAGGGAGCATGTGATTTTTTCATTTATTACAAATTATTTTATTTAACCTTGCTACTTAATTTCTTTCACCCATCAATTTATAAAATAGACGAAGAAAAGGAAAAGAAGAAGAAAATTTTTAATAAAATGTATTGCAACAGGGAGCATGTGATATTTTCATTTATTATAAATTATTTTATTTAACCTTGCTACTTAATTTCTTTTACCCATCAATTTACAGAATAGATGATGAAAAGGAAAAGAAGAAGAAAATTTTTAATAAAATGTATTGTAACAGGGAGCATGTGATATTTTCATTTATTACATATTATTTTATTTAACCCTCTGCATTTAATGTCTTTTACCCATCAATTATTAAAATAAACGAAGAAATGGTTTTTAATAAAATGTATTGCAACAAGTGCATGTGGTTTTCATTTATTATAAATTATCTTATTTAATCTTTTCTACTGAATGTCTTTTACCCATCAATTTACAAAATAGATGAAGAAATGGTTTTCAATAAAATGTATTATAACGAGTAGCATGTGGTTTTCATTTATTATAAATTATCTTATTTAATCTTTTTTACTGAATCTCTTTTACCCATCAATTTACAAAATAAACGAAAAAATGGTTTTCAATAAAATGTATTGTAACAGAAGCATGTGGTTTTCATTTTTCATAAATTATTTTATGTAACTTTTGCAATTAATTTCTTCTACCCCGTCAATTATCAAAATAAACGAAGAAATGGTTTTCAATAAAATTTATTGTAACAGAAGCATGTGGTTTTCATTTATTATAAATTATTTTATGTAACCTTTGCAATTAATTTCTTCTACCCCGTCAATTTACAAAATAGATGAAGAAAGGGGTTTTCTTATAAATAATTTTAGGAGCTTGGATTGGCTATCACTCCGGAACAAATAGCCGAAATGGAGGCCCATATCAACGACATCGACTTCGAGGCTGCCGCGAAAGAAGAGAAGGCAACGAGACACGATGTGATGGCTCACGTTCATGTTTTCGCCAATCAGTGCCCGAAAGCGGCGCCCATTATTCATTTGGGGGCTACTAGTTGCTACGTTGGTGATAACACGGTAATTTCAAAACTTACTATACTGATGACATTTATAACTAAAGGAATTCTAGGAATATTTCAGGAGTCCTTGACTGATTCGAAAAATCTGAGAACTCCATTATTCTTTGAAGATGAAGAATTCTTTACTGATGTGAAAAATTCTTGAAGTCTCCAGTAATTTGGAAAACTTTCGAAAAGTTCTTAAAGTGTCATTAAATCCTTAAAGTATTCTTAAGTGCTAAAAAATCCTTGAATGCTTAAACCTTTAAGTTCTAAAAAATCCTTAGATCCATAAAGCATCGTTGAGTCCATAAAAAATCCTTGAAGTCAATTCATCAACCTTGAAAATCTCATCAAGTCATCAACACTAAAAGTACCTAAAAATTTGAATATTTGCAAGTTCTTAACTTCTCTACAGAAAAACATCCTGCATATAAAACATTGACCTTCACATTTCTTCCCAAAGGATCTGATCATCCTACGACAAGGATTCGACATACTCCTACCAAAACTAGCGAACGTGCTGTCGCGCCTCGCAAAGTTCGCCAAAGAGTACAGCAATTTACCGACGTTAGGATTCACTCATCTTCAACCAGCTCAACTTACCACGGTCGGTAAACGAGCTACATTGTGGTTACATGATCTTCTGATGGACGAAAGAGCAATTCGTCGTGCTAGGGATGATCTGAAGTTTCGAGGAGTGAAAGGAACCACTGGTACGCAGGCTTCGTTCCTTCAGTTGTTCAATGGTGAGACTCGAATTTCATTTATTTTGTTATTAGTCGGCATAAGAGTTAAAATTGTTTTAATAGAGAAAACATTAGTTTGTTGGAATAGTTTCTGATTATGTTCTTTTGTAGGTGACGGGGAAAAAGTGAAACAGTTGGATCGGTTGGTAACCAAGATGGCTGGCTTTGAGAAGCACTATCCTGTAACTGGACAGACCTACAGCAGGAAAGTCGATGTTGAATGTTTAAATGTTCTGAGTTCTTTGGGCTCTTCTGTTCATAAAGTAAATATATTTTTATCGGCTTAATTTGTTATGTAAATTATATGTTACTGTTAAATTGTTTATTAATGTTATATAAATTACATACTGTATTTTTTTATTTTCATCTTCATTTTCAACCTTCAATCTTCATCTTCATCTTCAACCTTCAATCTTCATCTTCATCTTCAACCTTCAATCTTCATCTTCATCTTCAACCTTCAATCTTCATCTTCATCTTCAACCTTCAATCTTCATCTTCATCTTCAACCTTCAATCTTCATCTTCATCTTCAACCTTCAATCTTCATCTTCATCTTCAACCTTCAATCTTCATCTTCATCTTCAACCTTCAATCTTCATCTTCATCTTCAACCTTCAATCTTCATCTTCATCTTCAACCTTCAATCTTCATCTTCATCTTCAACCTTCAATCTTCATCTTCATCTTCAACCACCTTCAACTTCATCTTCATCTTCAACCTTCAATCTTCATCTTCATCTTCATCTTCAACCTTCAATCTTCATCTTCATCTTCATCTTCAACCTTCAATCTTCATCTTCATCTTCATCTTCAACCTTCAATCTTCATCTTCATCTTCATCTTCAACCTTCAATCTTCATCTTCATCTTCATCTTCAACCTTCAATCTTCATCTTCATCTTCATCTTCAACCTTCAATCTTCATCTTCATCTTCATCTTCAACCTAATCTTCATCTTCAACCTTCAATCTTCAACCTTCAATCTTCATCTTCATCTTCAACCTTCAATCTTCAATCTTCATCTTTAACCTTCAATCTTCATCATCATCTTCAAACTTCATCTTCAAACTTCATCTTCGAACTTCATCTTCAAACTTCACCTCAAACTTTACCTTCAAACTTCATCTTCAAACTTCATCTTCAAACTCCATCTTTAAACTACATCTTTAAACTTCATCTTTAAACTTCACCATCAAACTTCATCTTCAAACTTCATCTTCAAACTTCATCTTCAAACTTCATCTTTAAACTCCATCTTTAAACTTCATCTTCAATCTTCAACCTTCATGTTCTTCTCTTCCAGATATGCAGCGACATCAGACTCCTAGCAAACATGAAAGAAATAGAAGAACCGTTCGAAAGCACCCAGATTGGCTCCAGCGCGATGCCATATAAAAGAAACCCGATGCGTTCTGAACGTTGCTGCAGTATAGCACGACACCTAATGACACTAGCTAACAATGCTTTACAAACGGCTGCTACTCAGTGGATGGAAAGAACTCTGGACGACTCAGCGATCAGAAGAATCACTTTGTCAGAAGCGTTCTTGTCAGCCGATGTTATATTAATGACACTCCAAAATATCACTGAGGGTTTGGTTGTATATCCAAATGTCATTGCTAGACATGTCGCTCAAGAATTACCTTTCATGACCGCAGAAAATATTATCATGGCTATGGTGAAGGCCGGAGGCGACAGACAGGTGATTTTTTAGTAGGAAGATTATTAAAGGATGATTGTTAGGGAGATTATTAGAAGCTGATTATTGCTAGGGAGATTCATGTTAGGTATCTGCACGAGTAGATGTCTATGCGTTAAATTAAAATGCATTAGGTATCCATGGGTTTGATATCTACACGTTAGGTATGCATGTATTAGATTACTATGTATTGTATGTGTACTGACGCATTAGATATCTGCGTATTAGATATGCACTCGCTAGATATTCTCCTGTTAGATTACTACGCATTAGATATCCACGCATTAGGTATTTACGCGTTAGATATCCAAGTGTCAAATATCCACGCGTCAGATATCCACGCGTCAGATATCCACGCGTCAGATATCCACGCGTCAGATATCCACGCGTCAGATATCCACGCGTCAGATATCCACGCGTCAGATATCCACGCGTCAGATATCCACGCGTCAGATATCCACGCGTCAGATATCCACGCGTCAGATATCCACGCGTCAGATATCCACGCGTCAGATATCCACGCGTCAGATATCCACGCGTCAGATATCCACGCGTCAGATATCCACGCGTCAGATATCCACGCGTCAGATATCCACGCGTCAGATATCCACGCGTCAGATATCCACGCGTCAGATATCCACGCGTCAGATATCCACGCGTCAGATATCCACGCGTCAGATATCCACGCGTCAGATATCCACGCGTCAGATATCCACGCGTCAGATATCCACGCGTCAGATATCCACGCGTTAGAAATCCACTTGTTAGATATTCTCCTCTGACATTATTACGCATTAGATATCCACACGTGAGACATCCTCACATAAGATTACCCACGCATTAGATATCCACGCATTAGGTATTCACGCGTTAGATATCCAAGTGTCAAATATCCACGCGTCAGATATCCACGCGTTAGAAATCCCCTTGTTAGATATTCTCCTCTGACATTATTACGCATTAGATATCCACACATAAGATTATCACGCATTAGATATCCACGCTCAGACATCCACGCATTAGGCATTCACGCGTCAGATATCCAAGTATCAAATATCCACACGCCATATATCCAAGTATCAGATATCCACGCGTCAGATATGCAAGTGTCAAATATCACCGCGTTAGATATGTACACATTAGATATCCACGCGTTGAATCATAATGCATCTCCTATTGGAATCAAAGTGCGTTCATATCACCACATGTTGCAATCATCAAGCACCTATATCGTCATACATTAAAGTCACCGTGTGTGGTAAGACTATCCTCTGCAAAGTAGCGTTATGAGTAAGAGACAAATTGAATTATCCTATTGTACAAAACTGTCTACAAAATTTTACAGTAAGTTATGAATCAGTTTCACAAATTGACTTAGTTGAACTAATAATTGCATGCTTTATTTCCTCTCGCATAAAATTTAAAATTGTAATTGATAACTAATTGTTTGTAGGTCTGCCACGAGAAAATAAGGGTGCTCTCTCAAGAAGCAGGCGCACAAGTGAAGCAACATGGTCTGGACAACGACTTAGTAGAGAGGATCAAGAAGGACCCTTACTTCCAACCGATCCTGAATAAACTGAACGATCTTCTCGATCCTCGAACCTTCGTCGGCAGAGCACCTGAACAGGTGACGGAGTTTCTGGAAGAGGACGTATACCCCGTGCTCGAGAATTACAAAGGACTCTTGGGTGGATCCGTACAATTAAACATTTAATGTTAACTCAAAGGATAACTGGATCTGGACTTGTAAAATAATTTCAATTCCATGATTTTTTAAACTTTCTGTCGATTTTCTTTTTACGAACGATACGTACAAGATTGTTTATGTGAATATTACAGAGATGAATAAATCGTTTTATTTTTCTCTATCGTAACCTGTGCAATTCTGATTACTTCTCGACAACGTAACTGCTGTGATAGCGAAACGGGCTCGTAAGTTATCGAATTTCGCGTAGAGACACAAGATAGAAGTAAAATTGTGAAGGTAGAGAAGGCAGAGTAGAAAGACAGAGGTACGAAAGCCGATCGTTTATTTTAATAGTCATAGCGAGTAACCATTGCTTAATCGTCCATTTATTTATCTTACCTTTGTTTGAGAAATACATCGGTTGTATTATTGTATTGTATCGTGTTGTATCGTCACGATCGCAATGTCTTTGTACTCATTTTTATAATTCGTGATAAACTATTTTACATTTAATACAAAAGTTGTACTATGTTGTACTTTCATAATAATAAATCGTTTAAGCAATCGTTACGAATTACAGGACAGTTTCTGGCACAGAAAATACGTAACTGTTTCGATGGCAGAATATGAGAACAAAGATAGAATCGAGATAGGTGATAGTTTATAGCACTCGAGGATCACAGCATAGGGAAATATTCGCGTCATTCGTTCGCTAGGTGAAGTTTGGGTGGGAGAAGACTAGAAATGAGAGAAGAAAGGAAACGCGGTTTCCAAAACTCAGAAATATATTCTACGAATTCTGTTTGGCAGAGTGGTTTGTGTAAAAAAATATATAAATAAGTTTTGTCAATCCTCGAACAATCTTAGACTAAGTATATTCTTTAATTTTCAAAAAATTGAATGTCTTTCTGCTGAAGCACTTGGTCATAAATGACCCAATTTCGTTGTTCGAGGATTAAGTAGAGAAAGAAGAGATAAACAAGATAGAGAACAATAAATGAAAGGAAGAAAAGATTGAGTGAATTTGGGAAATGAAAAACAAAAGTGAAAGAGTATTGAAGAAAATCAGAAAAACAGATTTGAAGAAATGAGAGCAATAAAAAGATTGCGTAAAGAAAGGATATCTTAGAGTACAATGCACAGCATTATTGGAGCATCCAATTTCACATTTGTATTATTAAACAAATAACAGGACTAGATGAGACATCGCTTGTCAGCGACAGGTGTAACAAATTTATAATAGAATTTTAATGTTGAGGCAAAATGTTGATGAAAGAAAGATGAAGAGTGTGGAAGAGAGGTTGTAGGAGATAGTGAAGAGAAATGTAGTTGAGAAGAAGACATAAAGATGAAAAAGATGCGCAGAAATAAAGACATAAAGATGAGCTGAAATGTATGAAAAATAGATGGAGAAGAAATCACAGAAGATAAGAAAGAGAATAGAGTTTAGAGAAGGCTAGTGTGAAAAATGAAAGTTGAAAGAAGTGAAAGAATTGAAAGAAGAAATACAATTTTCAGGAAAGTTCAAGTGATGTAAAGAGTAATAGAAAGTGAGATGTAAAGAAAATTATGTACATAGATTTCTAAATGTAAAAGCCATAGGATTTAAATAGAAGAAGAGAAGAGATACAGAAGGAGAAGAAAGTTGTGAAACATTGAGAAAAAGAGAAGACAAAATAAATGAAAGAATAGATGATGAATAAAAGAAAAGATCAGAGGAAGAAGAAAAAGAGTGAAAAAATATTTCAGTGCACAAATATTGAAGAGATAAAGAAAGAAAAAAGAAGAAGAGAAACAGCAAAACTTGAAAGGCAGGAAGAAAGAAAGTAATAAAATTAAGGAATATTGAAACAGGAAAGACAGTAAAGTTTCAAATCAAAGAGAAATGTCAGAAGACAATAAAGAATGAAGAAAACAGGAATTGAGACAAGAAAAGACAAGAAAAAGAAGTTAAGACAAAAAGAAGAAAACAGAAACTAAAGCAAGAAGAAAACAGAAGTTGAAACAAAAAGAAGAAAACAGAAATTGAAACAAAAAGAAGAGGCTAAGGCAAGAAGAAGAAAACAGAAAATAAAACAAGAAGTAGAAAACAGGAGTCAGACAAGAAAAAGAAAAAAGAAGCAAAAACTAGAAGAAAAAAAAGAAAGAAGTTGAAGTAAAAGGAAGAAAACAGAAGTCAATAAAGGAAGAGAAACTAAGGAAGAATAAAGTATCGCTTTAAAAATGCAATAGTCTTTAAAATTTCAGGTACTTCAGTATTTCACACCAATGTTCACAAAGAGACAGCAAAGAGAAATACAAAGATAGAGAAAGTAGAGGAAAATTGTGGAGAAAGTTTATCAAGCAAATAACATAAGAAGAAAGATAAAGACTATTCACAGAAGGTTATCTACAAAGTGAAGAGTAAAAATATAAGAAGTGAAAGTAGGAAAGAAAATAAGGATAACGGAGACAGTTTCATTGAGACATTCTATGGCAAACTGAATTAACATAACTGTAATACTGATGATAGGTATTTGAAGCAAGAACAAAATAGATAAAGAAACTTGCAGAGCGCAATAAAACAAAGCTGAAATTATTGGAAAAATAGTGAAAGAAAGAAGAAATAGTGAAACAGTAGAAAGAGATTTGTACAAAGAGACAGGGTAGGAAGAAACATTTATATAAAGAAACAAAGTGAAAAGAAACATTTGTACAGAGAGATAGGTTAGAAAGAGATATTTGTACAAAGAGATAGGTTAGAAAGAGACATCTATACAAAGAGACAGGGTAGAAGGAGACATTTTTACAAAGAGAGAGATTAGAAAGAGACAAGTATACAAAGAGACAGAGAAGAAAGAAGAAAAGTTGAAGAAGCAGGAAATAAGATAAAAAAAGGAAAACAGAATAGATAATCAAAAGAAGAAAAAATAGAGTATTAAAGATACAAGTTGGACAGAAAAGATAAACCAATCATAATTTCACATCTCACAACTTCACTGATCCACCAACTATCAAAGTATTGACCAATGAAGTTGCAAGGTACTAGAAGGGCTATCACAGAGCGTTAGTTCGTGGAGAAGATAGCTCTGTCATTTCCAAAATCAGGAACTCCAATATGGTAACCATCAATTTTACCAATCATAGAGAAAATATATGTTCCTGATCAGTCTCCAGGTTAATCGTCTTCTGTTTCCAAAGAATCTACTTTTTGGCGATTCGATAGCCAGAAAAAGTGGCGCTGTCCGCGATCTTTCCAGAATCCACGAAAACGGCGAGTTGGTCTCCGGCGTCGACGTCAAGAATGACCAAATTCGCACCGCCTCCTGGACCGGCGCTGACCACCGGTCTCCAGCTGTCGGTATTACTCAGTTTTCTTTTCAACGTGAGTCGCAGATCCGTGCTACCATAACCGGCGAAGCTGAATTGGTAAAGTCCTGGACAGTGGGCGATGAAGGTTCCCGTCTGGGCCACGTAACCCACGCCTTTGTCGACCAGTGTCTCCGCGAGAACGACTTTGGCATGCTGCAAATAAAAGATATTTATGCAAATTGAGGATACTTTAAGGGGACGTAAAAATTGAAGTGTAAAGCTAGAATATTTTTAATGGTGAAATTAATTTGAAATATCTTACGTCGACAGAAGCTTGAGTGGCAGAAAAGGCGACAACGCCATTGCAGTCAGCGGCAGTTGCCAATTTCAAAGAACCTACGGTTGTGATGGCTTCCGGTGGGTCTGGTACTGCCGCTTCCGTTAGAATGGCTGTTGTCAGTAACAGCACCAACCACACCACCCTGGAACCAAAATTGTATTGTTAGAAATGAAAGTTATATTTTTGGAATTATTACAAGTTCTGTTATTATAAAATTTTATTGCAGTGTTGTGTTATTACAATGATTATTAAATGTATTAATGTATAATTTTGTTTATGTATATAATGTATGTAATGTTGCATGAAAAGTGAAAGATTTGAATGAAGAAAAAAAAATTAATTTTATTATATAATTATTATGAAATTAGGAGAAGATATTTTTGAATCTTAGATAATTTATTTCAATTTAAAATAATTGACTAATTTTACAAATTAGTAAAAATTGACCAAGTTTAAAATTAATAAAAATTAGTCAATTTTGAAATTAACAAAAATTAGTCAATTTTAAAATTAATAAGAATTAGTCAATTTTAAAATGAACAAAAATTAATCAATTTTAAAATTAATAAAATTTAGTCAATTTTAAAATTAACAAAAATTAGTCAATTTTGAAATTAGTAAAATTTTACAAAATAAGAATGAAGTCCTATATTAGAGGCTTATTAAAATTCTGAAGAACCCTTAAAATTGAACCCTAAGAATTAAAAAATATTAAAAGTCTTGCAACTAATATCTCGTCGAGACTTGTAACGTTCCGGTAGACTAAGTAAATTTTCACTAAAATAGCCAGAGTGTTATAGAAATGAGTATGTACGTCACTCAGCCACGAATTAAGGCAATCGCAGTAGAAAAATAAGTCGACTCGTTCTTATGTAAGAGTTCAAGTGGGCGTTCAGAGTATTTTTATAATTTTAACCCGTTCATATTTCCCTTGGAATCGTGTTAAATCACCAGCGTGACCATTCTCGGCAAAGTTCAACCCGACTTATGACTTTCACTGCTTCAGGCTACTTTGCCATCTGGTTCTCCTTTTTCTTCTTCTTCTTTTTCTTATTTCTCCTTTCTTGCCGACCTGTTTACTCCATCTTTCGTTATCGCCTTTCGTTTTCGAACGGTTTTTGTTTTGCTTGTTTCGGTGAAATCGGACTTTCTGCTTTGTGTCAGCTTATGTGTGAAATTTTATGTTTATGTACTTCAATACTGTATGAAAAATTTTATATTCAAATACTGTAACTATATGTATAATTATACATATGTAATATTATATGTATGTACGTATGTTAAACTATATGTATAATTATACATATGTAATATTATATGTATGTACGTATGTTAAACTATATGTAACTATACATATAAAATGATATGTTAAACTATATGCAACTATATGTGAAATTATATGTTAAACTATATATACATGTAAAATTTCATGTTAAATTGTATGTAATTGTACATGTAAATTTTCATGTTAAACTCTATGTAAAATTATAAGTGAAACTTTATATTAATCATATGTAAACTCATACGTTAAACTATATGTAACTACACCTAAGATCTTGGTATTCGCACACTTATTTCTTTGCAAAGATTCATTGTTAAAATCAAAACTAGCCTAAGTCTAAATATTAATTTATAAGTTCTTCATGGAACACTTCATTAAAGCAAATTCATTTTAACAACACTTGAGTATTAATGAAAATGATCATCAGTCATATTTGGTCCACATCTACATCTTACGTGTCAGTATAAAATTTTATATTGTGTCCACTCAATGTACTATATTTTAAGAAGTTGCCAGTATGCAAGATAAAGTGTGTTACCAATCTCACTCTATTAATCCTGCAATAATTGAACAGAAGTAAAAAGTATTTATCCGTCAAGCATGATTAACCACGCCAATCTAACTTTCTACTTTGCACGAAGAGAGAGTATTTCAAGCTTATTAATTTTCTTGCTAAGCAATCTGTCTACATATTTTTTCTTCTGGTGTCCCATTTCTGTCACATAAAAATTGAATCCCATTTTTATCATTAATCATGTATCCACTTATGTTAATATGTACTCTTGTTGTATCGACTACTCTTGTATCAACTATTCTTGTATCGACTACTCTTGTATTAACTAGTCTTGTATCAATTACTCTTGCAACTTCTAAATTTTGTTAAGAAACTATTAATTTCCACTATATAATTATACTAAAATTATAACATTCTGACAACATTATAGCATTCTCTTTGACTCAATGCAACATAATGGTGACACAAATTCCTCACAGGGTAAAAAATCAGAACAATTGTCAAGATTTATGATAATCGAAAGGCAAAGTGTGTTAACAGCTTGCATAATATGGGTTAAGAATAAACTCTACGTCGAGGGCAAACGTAATGTAACCGGTGTAATGCACTTTTAACCCCTTAGCTGCATTTGCCTGTGGGAGATAAAATCAGGGATCCTTTCACTTTCACGGGCTTCAAGGCAAGGATCTCACGTGCGACACACGTTTCTGTCGCCTACGTTCTCCGAAATAATAGATAGAACAATTCATAATAATAAATTTTGATCATTGTGCAACCGGTTCTATTCACCTCTTGTTTTATTAAAGAGGGTTGTGATCATGATTAGAATGGCCTTGAATTTTAATCACTCGTTCCTTCAATTTTCTTAATTCTTCATTTCGTTACCCTGTAATTTTTTGTTAAATCTTGTCTTCTATCAATACTTTTTTTTATTCTCTCAAATACATCGTCTTTTACGGTCCGTTAAATTTACGTAATAAATGTTTCTCACTCGGCGTAAAATGTTTATCGAAATTACGTATCGTTCTCCAGATACAACTATTAATTACCACAATTTTTCCTGGAACAGTAACCATTCGTTGATAATCGTTGAATATTTACTGCGCAAAAAGGAAACCAGTACAATTTGCATCTGTTTAAGGCCTCAATTTTTTTCTCGTTTCTCTAAAAAGAATTGAATAACAGACACGTAGTCTTCACCACACGAAAATATAAGTTCTCTTCCACAATACGATATTCTCTTTCGACAAGAGAATCCACGATAAGTGGATCATGCACATGAAGTTATAATGTATGCAAAGTGTGTATAAATTGAGCAATGACGTTCTCGCACGATTTTATAGCGCATGTAAATTTCTCTTAACAAGTGTTTTTTTTTAATCCATTAGGCTTGCTGCGTAAGAAGAACGAGTGATAACGAAGAAGATCGATAAAATTGGATTATGTTCGAAAATTGTAATACCGCAAAATGTTGCGTTGGTAAGAAATTTATTAAAGGTAGTATGTGTGCGGTAAGTCGCGCGAAAGACAAAACAAGTTTTACGTAACTGGTCGTTTCTACGTAGATAAAAGATCTTCCGGGGTCGATTTCGTCACACAACTAATAACCTTGTCGATTTTGCGTAGGAAATAAAATCGTGCGGGAAATTAGATGGATAATCGATGCAATCTAATTTTAGGATTTAGGGATTTGGGGATTTGGGAATTTTGGGATTTAGGAATTTTGGAATTTAGGGATCTGGGGATTTGGGAATTTTGGAATTTAGGGATCTGGGGATTTGGGAATTTTGGAATTTAGGGATCTTGGGATTTGAGAATTTTGGAATTTAGGGATCTGGGGATTTGGGGATTTGGGAATTTGTGAATTTTGGAATTTAGGGATCTGGGGATTTGGGAATTTTGGAATTTAGGGATCTGGGAATTTGGGAATTTTGGAATTTAGAGATCTGGGAATTTGGGAATTTTGGAATTTAGGGATCTGGGGATTTGGGAATTTTGGAATTTAGGGATCTGGGGATTTGTGGATCTAGGAATCTAGGGATATTGGGACATAGACAAATTTAGGATCTAGAGAAGTTTGGAATTTAAGAGAATTTGAGATCTAGAGAAGTTTGGAATTTAGGAGAATTTAGGATCTAAGAATCTATGAATTTTAAGAGAAATCAACAAGTGAGTATAGTTATAAAATATGTACAAAGCTACTAAGTACATACAAATTGACGTAACAACAAAAAGATTAAAAAAACTATACTCGCGCATATTTTAAAACTTGCTTAAACGTTAAATTTTCCACCGACGCATGCACTAAAAAAATTTGTATAATTATTACTGAGAACTTGACTAAACTAGTGATAATTGATGCTTGTTTACATATCAGGAGTGTAGTAAGTTCACAAAAGAATTGGAAGTATTAACAATATACAGGGGAATATATTAATTGATATGAGATGTGGGTGTTAAAGTGTACAGGTGATATAAGGAACTCTTCAAGGTAGTGGATATTAAAAAAGATGGTATACTAGATTAGAATCAACAGATACTGTCAGCTTGCATGTAATTAATCTTGAACTGGGTGTTAACTTAAATTCTCAGCATTCTTATTTACCATATCTAGATTTGCATTTAGAAACCTGGTAATTTTGTATTTTGTATCAACTAATATGCTGTGATATATTGTGAACTTGACTCATGTATTGTAGACTTGACTAATACGTTGTTAACTTGACTAATATATTATCAACTTGACTAATTTTATTGCAAACTTGACTAATATGTTATAAACTTGATTAACATATTATCAACTTGACTAATTTTATTGCAAACTTGACTAATATGTTATAAACTTGATTAACATATTATCAACTTGACTAATTTTATTGCAAACTTGACTAATATGTTATAAACTTGATTAACATATTATCAACTTGACTAATTTTATTGCAAACTTGACTAATATATTATAAACTTGATTAACATATTATAAACTTGACTAATTTTATTGCAAACTTGACTAATATGTTATAAACTTTATTAACATATTATCAACTTGACTAATTTTATTGCAAACTTGACTAATATGTTATAAACTTGACTAACATATTATAAACTTACCTAACATTACATTGCCTTGTACAAAATTAATTCATTAATGTTATCACTCTATACAACGATTAACCTACAGTATTTTTCTAATCTAATTCCTCTAATTCCTCTATTCTAATACCCCTAAAAATAGTATTTAAACTTGAAGACATGAAATGCAAGTCTAATCGCCTGAACGTAATTCCATGTGACATAAAAGCAAAGAAAAAGACTCACATGATGGTAGAAAGTGGTGTGGCAGTGGCGGATGTTGTCAGTGGTGCTGGAGAACGCAGTTGTTCGATGTTCCAGGTAAGTTGAGCCAGGTGAAGTCGACGTACGCCTTTATATCACCTTGGAGTCCGAACAACTTGGTCTTGACGCCACCTCCGATCTTTCCTCTCTCACCTCCTTCCTTTCCATTCCTTTCCTCGTGTCAAGTGCTGTTCTTTACGTTGTCTCCCCACCTCCGTGACCATTGTTGCTTACGGGGATTCGAGATAGTCTAACTTGTACTGAAACTGAAGACTCGACGAGGACAGAAAACGGTGTCTCTAAAATTTCCTAAGTGATACCAGTTTTTAGGTCCATCAAATCTCGAGGATCCATCAAATCTCGAGGATCCATCAAATTTTGTTGGTCCATCAAATCTTGCTTTGGCAAATTTCAAAATGGTGCACTAATTTCAAAATCTTTCACATAGTAAAAGAAATTTTCTCATCAAGCAAATATTGTGCTTTGATGGTCCATCAAACCTTGATTTGGCAGATTGCAAAATTGTGCACTGATTCCAAAAGTTCTAATTTTTTCAGAATAAGCAAATTTTCTCACCAAGCAAATATTGTATGCTTTTTACCAAATTTTTGAGCTACGTCAATTGGTGAAATGTTTGTCATAAATGGTAATTAATTTTTTGCAATTTTCATGAAGGTGCAATAATCTCAAATATGCTTCTTGTAAATATTACACTGTCTGGAAGAGCTTCTTAAAAGAATTCTTGTATCAATTAAATTTGCTAGTTTAAAGAGTTATTTCAACATACTTTGAAATTTTTTAAACATCTTTCAATTTTATTGGCATTTCTTTTAAGTTTAATTCAAATTTTTCTTCTTGTGACATGAAATTAAATATATTAATGTGATGTCAATATGGCGGAATATTAGTTTAGACGGGTGCAAATTATTTTTCTGAATTTTTATTTATATAATGTCACTTTGTGTTTATGGTTTATTCATAACATGTCAATTTTTATATTAACTGTAATATTAATTTTATTTTTTATGCAATTTAACGTAATTTTGTATAACGTAACATCAATTGTAATATCAAATTTGACATCAATTGTAGTATGAATTTTTTTAAGAGCAAAAGTAGGTATCAAGATTAAAATAAAAAATAAAATACACAGAATTTTTGCAGAAAAATTTGGAAAAATTATTAAAATCAACAAAATGAAGTATTTACAGCTGTACATGAGTTTGACACTAATTACAATAATTTTGATAAAAATAAAAATCAAGTTTGAAATAAAAAGAAACGTTTCCACACATTAATTATACACTACTTCTAACAATTTTAATAAAAATAGAAATCAGTTTGAAATAAAAAGGAAAATTTACAGCAACACATTAATTGTACACCACTCCCAATAATTTTGATAAGAATAGAAATCAGTTTGAAATAAAAAAGTAAAATTTACAGCAACACATTAACAGTACATAAATTACAATAATTTCAATAAAAAACGAGTTAGAAATAAAAAAGAAAATTTACAACTGTATTGATTGTACTGACACCAAAGGTATGCAGATGGTTGATAAAGCATTATTACGCGATTATTACAAGAAGCGGAAATAGCTGGTCTACCAAGTTGAATGTATAATAAGTAAATAAATGTTATTCTTGTATCTAACCGAGCATCATTTGTCCACCTTTCAAGTGACATTTCAATGCACTCCCGTCGACCAGTTAATGTAATCTTCAAACTTGATTGAATGTACCTAGAAATTGCACACGAACTATACTTAGCGTGAATTCAAATGAATTTTCTCTCTTTTGGCATACAATAGTATCTGTTGGGAAAACTGGGACGCGTAATTAATCGTGGATGAAATTTTAATAAAAAATACATTAATAATTTTTATGTTATTAATGTTAAATTTATTATATTATAATTATTACAAAATTTGCATTCGTAAATTGAGAATTTATTTTGAACCTTGAAAATTATGTTTGCGATTGAAATAATTTTTATTGTGATTATTTTGAGGAGGTTATCTTTGTAAAATTAAAATTTTCAAAAATTAATAGAAACTTATGTTAAAGTTTGAAAATTATGTTTAGAACTGAAATAATTTTTATTGTGATTATTTTGAGAAGGTTATCTTTGTAAAATTAAAATTTGCAAAAATTAATAGAAACTAATGTTAAAGTATGGAACGAAAGTAAATGTTCCGCTTCGAATTAGCATAAGAAAATAGTACAACTAATCTGCGGACAAAAATAAAATTCTATCGACTGGTTTATTCCATAAAATGTAACTTTCACTTTGACTTTCGGCTCCAGTTATCTCTACGGGTTGCGTTCACTAGTTGTGCCCATTTTTCGGCTTAATTCAATTTACCTTATCTCATTTTAAATCATTTCGAAGCAAAAAGTACAAATTTTTAATTCTAAAATAATTCTCAGCAAAATTTACTCAAATTCTATAAAATTGATACAAATGTTACAAAAATGATAACGTAAAATATTAAGATAAAATATGCTTCTGTAATGTACTGTAAATACATACCACAGTAAAATATCTCGTGCAACAATTATTTTTTCCACAGAGAAGTTTTGCGTAATCACAAATTACTAGAAAAGATCCGAAAGTGTAAGAACCCGTTATTAAAGAAAATTCTATAACCTATTTCTTCCTTCTTCCTTCTTTCAAATTGCTTCCTTTCTGCGTGAGTCGTTTCGTAATGCGAGCCTAGCCTACTTCAATTATATCCTTGTGACACTGGAACTTTCATCGTACGAAATCCAAAGTATAACTCGCGAGAGAAACGATAGATTGCTATTAAAGTAAACAAACGTGTTTGTGTGTCATTTCCCACTTGCAGTGGACGAAAATGTATCAGTGGGTCATCGCCGGCACGGTTTATTTCTGGTGGCCTCCTTTTCCTCCCTTCGAATTTCCTTTTGCGAGATGCTTAATGCAAAATTGAATATTCCCGCCAATTTATAGAAACGACGATACTATCTACAGATGCTAAGACATTTAGATATTTTAGATCTTGTTTTATGTTAAATAACTTGATATTATTTTTAAGTACTTCATATTTAAATAGCTAACGCGATCCTGAATAAGATTTCCCTTGGCAGAAATGGGGTTTGAAGCTTCGTTTTTGAATTATTCGTATTTATATCTCCAGCCGAATTTTAGCTAAACCGATAGAAAATCAGAAACTGTTTTCCCTCGGCAGTGTCACAAAAATTGTTAGCCCACTCCGAGCTTTTGTGAAACGTAAAAATTCTTCGAAGAGTCACTCTCGAGTCATCAAGTACGCAGCAAAATAAAAGTACGTATCAAGTTCCAAGTATCAGGTTTCAGGTATCAAGTATCAGGTTTCAAATATCTAGTTTCGAATATCGAGTTACAAGTCCGGTCGTTAAAAGTACGTATCGAGTTACAAGTATCAGGTTTCAGGTACCAAGTGTCAGGTTTCAAATATCACGTTTCAAGTTCCGAGTATCAGGTTTCAGGTAGCAAGTGTCGGGTTTCAAATATCACGTTTCAAGGACCAAGTATCAGGTTTCAAATATCAAGTGTCAGAATCCTTCAGAATCACATCAGCTACTTCTATTTCAGGGACCTAAAGTTGTGAGACAACCTGTAGATATAACTAGCTAAAGAATAAATGTGTCTACTAATTTATGTTTCATCGTTTGTTTATCTATTACATAACTTCATTTTTAATTTCAAATGAAGTACGCATTATATGGTAGGTTTAGTGCTAATCTCAGATATTTTCATTAATGTTTTTTTTTATAAGTTTGCATTTTTAGTACCTACATTTTTTAACTTCATTTTTAATTTCAAATTAGGTACACATTATACGGTACGTTTAGTGTTAATCTCAGATATTTTCATTAATGTTTTTTTCTATAAGTTTGCATTTTTAGTACCTACATTTTTTAACTTCATTTTTAATTTCAAATTAGGTACACATTATACGGTACGTTTAGTGTTAATCTCAGATATTTTCATTAATGTTTTTTCTTACAAATGTTCATTTTCAGATCTCAGATATTTTTCTTCATTTTTTTTATAAGAGTTCATTTCCAGATTCGAAAGCAATTGAAATGAAAATATCTACCAAAGCGATCTCCATGAATAATTCGATGAATGCCAAGTTATTCAATCGGATAGAATTCCGATTACGTTATCTGCCGCTTTCGTATGATGCAACGTATCACAAATTACGGCAGCCGGAATGCTTTTATAATTAACCGTGAATAGAGATGAATATTATTCGCGCGGGATACGCGTAGCGAATTTCTCTCACGAACTGAAAGTTTGTGTCTCCGTTTATTATTAACTACGGACAGCCGAAAGAAATTCGCTGTTTTGTAGAGGCAGAGAAATCGTCGTCTTATGAATTCCCGTTTAGCATAACTGCTTTCTAAACTTGCGATTTGTGTATTGAGGATTTTAATTAGAATCTATGGGTCGTGGATTAATTATTCAAATATCCTAGAGACCCTAAGTAACCTGGAGAGTTCAGAAAATTTAGAGGCCCTGAGAAATTTGGTGAGCATAGTTACTCTTGAAAATTTTGGAAACCTAGGGATTTTATAAAATTGCGAAATTCTAGAAAACATAAGAATCCCTAAAAACAATTCCTAGGAGGTCTAGGGATCATTGAGAATTTTAAAATCCTAGTAAAACTAGGAAACCAAGAAATTCTAGGAAATCTAGTGATTCTGGAAAACGTAGAGATCCTAGGAAACCTAGAGATCCCCAGTAAAAATCCCTAGAATACCTAGTAACCCCAGAAAAACTCCCTAGAAAACCTAGTAACCTCCAAAAAATCCCTAGAAAACCTAGTAACCCCAGAAAAAATCCCTAAAAACCTAGTAATCTCCAGAAAAAATCCCTAGAAAAGCTATTAATCCCCAGAAAAAGCTAAGTATCCTCCAAAACCAGAAATTCTTCAGGTTCCACTAAACTTAAAGTCCCTAGGAACGTTTGATCTTGAAGCTAGAAACCGTATCGCAATTTTAGCCAGGTTTTGCAACGATCATCAATGATCCCGTTTCGCGGTCGATTGCCCGTGTTCATCATTAAATGGAAAGTCACCACGCCTCTCTGTCTCTATATGGGACAAACGAAAGTTTAGCCGTAGGCAATTGTCCGGTTCATTTAACAATTAATAAAAGCATAAGAAAGGGACAGTGAGTGACAGTGATACTCGTTACCAAATTGACACGCCTTACTATGTTTATTCTAGATTCGTACATATTACATATTCGTTAGATAACCACGATAAGATGGCACTGATCGATTCCAAACTGTGCGAACGAGAATACAAAGGTTCTTACAAATACCTACAGATAAGCTGTAAATAAATAAACTGCGTCAAGAAGCGAGTGGAAAGATAGGAACGAGATGAACACAGAATCAAGGCAAGCTAACACATAAAAATTAGAATAAACTTGAAGCACGAGGATAGAGGATTAACGAATAGGGTGCATGTCCTGCACACGTTTATACACCTGTCGTAATTATATACAATACAAATACGTTTAGTCAGATATTAGATGATATTACAAACTGTGGGAGTATTACGTTACTATCGAATCATGCTCTGAATCCTTCAGCGTCTACCAGTGGATCGGAGCTGATATAAGTTGCAAATTGCAAGAGAATTTAATATTATTATCAAATGATGATTTGAATCCTCCAGCGTCTACCAGTGGATCGGAGCTGATAGATATAAATTACAGATTGCAAGAAAATTTAATGTTACTATCAAATGATGCTCTGAATCCTTCAGCGTCTACCAGTGATCCGAACCTGATAGATATAAATTACAAATTGCAAGAAAATTTAATATTACTATCAAATGATGCTCTGAATCCTCCAGCGTCTACCAGTGATCCGAACCTGATAGATATAAGTTGCAAATTGCAAGTGAATTTAATATTACTATCAAATGATGCTCTGAATCCCTCAGCGTCTACCAGTGGATCGCCAATAGATATAAGTTGCAAAATTTAACATTAAATGATCTAAATCCGTCAGCGTCTACCAGTGGTCTTTTGTCATCATTTTAACAGGGGTATATAACGCGTCGTTATTTACAAATTTCGAGGGAAAGGGAACGTTATTTACAATGATCCGACTGTATCCAATCACTAACGATTTGGATCGTCGAGCACAGTTTGACTTTCACTCTGGACACACTGTGCTTTCGCGTGGTGGCACCTCGATCGCCTTGGATCTTTCTTCGTCTTTGTCTCGTTACCTCGAGAAAGCATTCTCTTACTGCTCGGGTGAAGGTTTCAGTGGTATGCAAAGAAATTGCAAACCACCGTTATAATTAAGCCTCGGCCTTCTCATTCTTTCTCACTATCCTTTCCCCATCTAAAAATTCCGCAAAACCGCAGCAACCCATGAGATAAATTCAAACAAGCCATTAAATGCAAACTAAAATTCCAGATACCAAATTTTCTGATTCTAAACCACAACTTTCAAAAGAGGAATTAAAAGCTAAGAGAATCCATTCAACAGAGAGAGCACAGCGTGTCCAAACTGAAGCAACCGTCTAAACTAACAAATTATCGTCCTGACATGCGGGTCCCATGCTGGGCCAGTTGCAGGCGTTCGCGCCGTTGTCGAAGGTTAAATGCACCGGGCAGTTAAACATGTGTAGCGTGAACTTCTTCTTCCACTCGTCCCAATGGCAAGCGTAGAACTTGTTGCAGAAGTTAGGATGCCGGAACAGACCGGGTCTGGCACAATTAGTGGCACCGTCGATGACCTCTTCAGAGTCCCCGAACGCAGGTTGCTCCACAATCTGCTTATCTGAAGAATCAATATGCAGACTCTTTCCGGACCTGTAATTGGCAGTGAAACCATGGCTGAATCCGCCGATTAGGTTTTGGGAGGCCACGTTGGCTCGGACACCCAGGTTCGGAGTGTCACTTGGCAAATATGTGGTGGACACTTTCTGTTGAGACTCTGATGACAGTTTGGCAGCTATATCTTCGTCCCAGATTTTAATAGGACCAGGTGGTGTTTCAGAATTGGTTATGTAATCCTGCTGCTCGTAGGAGCCGTCCTTTTCAAGGTCGACGTAGATTTCGGACTCGTCGTAGTTGGACAAGTCCACCTTGCCTTTGGAGGAGTTGATCAACTTGGAACCTGGTCCTCGGAGGTTGGCGAAGGGATCTCCTCGGCAGGTGCATTCCGCTCCAAGTTTACCCAGAAGCAGAGGATGAAGGTCGCTCCATTTGACGATTACCTTGCCTCCACCTACGGCTGTGGATTTGGCAGTGGATTGATAAGTTAGCGAAGGCTTTGAGTAAGTTCCCACAGCAAATGGTGTCTGCGTTTTCTGGACTGTGTAACCTTGTCCTACGCTGGATCCGCTGACTGATCCAGTAGAATAGACGTCGTACTGGCTGGGGACGTATCTGGTCGTTCCCCTGTAATTCGTGATTAGTTTACCGGCGTCGTCTTTGGGAGAGTAGCCTGAAACTGCAGGGGTGACGGTCGATATCGTGAACGGCTTCCTGTAGGTTACTCCGACGGCCGGGGAGATGGTGCTGCTGGGTAGATACTGAGTCTGAAATCAAACACATCGTTAGATACATTGAGCTGAAGGTCTTAAATAAATACATACACATCGTCAAATGTTGAAATGAACAACCGAATGTTAGATAAACGAACCTGTGGTTTGTCCGACGGCACCTGAAACACTGAAGACGGTGTGCTAGAACCATCCTTTCGTCCATATCCCTGTTTCGTTCCATATTCGAACTGATCACCAGATCCGCTGAACTGATCGTGACTTATGGTCACCGGTACCGGAGTCGAGGATATAATGGTCTTGTAACCTGTATCCAGCACAGGTCGGACTGAGGACGTCGCAAACGGAATCTTAGCCGCATCAAAAGCAGTCGTCTTGTAATTTTCAAGAGGACCCGTCGTGAACAGTGGTGAGACGGTCGACTGACCGAAGCCAGGTTTCTGATAGGTGTCTACTCTAGGAGTAGAGCTAGCGAACTTCGGGGAATTGTACACCTCGACGTTCAAGAATGGTGTCGGGGTTGTTGCAGTGAAAACGTTGCCCTCTGTCGGGGAGATGGATCCAATAGATGATGTGACACCCGTGTCGAAGGGAACATTCGGTGCAGGGTACTCGTAGCCGGAGGACTTTGATGGACCCAAGGTTATTCTTGAGGTATCGATCTGTCCAGACGGGTACTTAGATGGAGACGTGTAGGTATTGACGCTACTTTCGGTGGACGATTTCGTGTATCCCGCCACGTTACCCTCGAAGGCCTTCTCGCCGATATTGTCAGGTCGTGGTGTGGGTCTTGTTTTTATGGAACCGACTACGTAACTGCCGCTGCCACCTACAGTGGCCTTTGTATAACCTGTCTGGGTGGGCTCAGTCTTAGAGAACCCTCTCGGTGTGGATGTACCTCCATTTAATAACGTATCGGGAATAATTGTACCTCCAGCTGGTCTATAATCTGGAATATCGTTCTCCGTGTATTTAGTGGTCACATCTCCATTGTTGAACCTGATGGTACCACGTCCTCCATTATCGTGGTACTCGTTCGTCTTGTACCCGGTGTCAGGTACCTTTCCAATTTTAGTTCCGTAGGAACCTGTGACACCTCCGTAGCCTGTTTGGCCGAAATGATGACCGCTGACTGTCTGATCGAATGGCAGAGGAGTTGTTCCAGTTAGAACAATACCGGGACTTGTTTGTTCTTTCACGAAAGTACCTGCACCAGGTGCACCAGTTACCAGGACAGTTGATGGCGTCCCGTATACTATGGTTCCGTGGCTAGATGCGCCAGGGTAGACGGTCTTCACTCCGACGTATCCAGGTGTAGTGTATCCTGGATAGCTACCTCCAGTTACGACAGTTCCTTGCTGGGAGGATCCTGATAGGGTGCCTGTGTGTCCATAAGTGACTGTTCCTACAGAGCCTCCAACTGATCCTTGGACATGTCCTGTCAGAGTACTGTCTTCTCCAAATCCATAATCAGAAGGTGTTATGTGATATACTGGACCTCCGGAAGGTGTGTGACCAAGAGTGGTGTTACTGTAGTATCCATTGGTACCTTGATAAACGGTTGATCCAGATCCGGAAACACCATGGTAACCATAGGTCTGGCCTGGAGATGGAGTGGAGGAGCAGGAGATACAATTGTAACGTGGTCCATCTGGTTTTTGCACGTACGTGGAGACGGCTGTGAAATACAGTAAAATTAAAAGACTGTGATTGAACAGAATGAATTGATTTTATACGAATACTTACGAACTTGTCCGTCACTGCCTGTCGACCCAGTGTACTGTACCCCACCTCCAGAAGTAAACGTAGATCCACCATGACTCACATCATATCCAGAATACTTTGTTCCGGTTTGGCCAGAATAATCGACACCTCCAGATCCGGGTGATGTGGATCCGTAACCTGGTTGAATTCCAGGGCCATGTCCTCCCTTCACTCCACCTTTCACTCCTCCCTTCACGCCACCTTGATATCCACCAGTAGGAGCTACTGTGTAACCTGGTCCAGATGCTCCATGTCCTCCTTGATATCCACCAGTTGTAGATCCAGTGTAGCTTATTCCAGATCCTCCATGAGCAGTTGATCCTTGGTATCCTCCAGTAGGAGCTACTGTGTAACCTGGTCCAGATCCTCCATGAACTCCGCCTTGATATCCACCAGCTGTAGATCCAGTATAACTTATTCCAGACCCTGCATGACCACCAGTTGATCCTTGGTATCCTCCAGTAGGAGCTACTGTATAACCTGGTCCAGATCCTCCATGAACTGATCCTTGATATCCTCCAGCAGTAGTGCCAGTATAACTTATTCCAGATCCTGCATGACTACCAGTTGATCCTTGATATCCTCCAGTGGGAGCCACTGTGTAACCTGGTCCAGATCCTCCATGAACTCCGCCTTGATATCCACCAGCTGTAGATCCAGTATAACTTATTCCAGATCCTGCATGACCACCAGTTGATCCTTGGTATCCTCCAGTTGGAGCTACTGTATAACCTGGTCCAGATCCTCCATGAACTCCTCCTTGATATCCACCAGCAGTAGTTCCAGTATAACTTATTCCAGATCCTCCATGACCAGTTGATCCTTGATACCCTCCAGCATTAGATCCAGTATAACTTATTCCAGATCCTCCATGACCACCAGTTGATCCCTGATATCCACCAGTAGATCCACCTGCCCCAGATCCATGAACTCCAGTTCCTTGATATCCCGTATCAGTGGACCCAGTGTAACTTGTTCCAGATGCACCATGACCCGTTCCAGCTGCACCACCATAAACTCCGCTTCCAGAGTGTCCAGCACCTGCTGTGTATCCCGTACCAGCGTGTGCTATACCTGTTGCTCCTGCATATACATTGCCACCACTACCAGTGGATGCCTGGCCACCCGTCCATACGTTATTATCTGAGCCTGAGTATCCTGTACCACTTGTTGATCCGTAATAGCCGGTATTTGATCCCTTTCCACCTCCATAATATCCGTCAGTCACTGGTTTGACGGTTGATCCACCATATGCTCCTCCTGAGTATCCATGACTTGTTGATCCAGAATAGCCGCTTCCGGTGGTTCCAGAGTAAGCTGTTGATCCTTGACCATGTACGGTTCCTTGACTTCCTCCGGTGGATCCTGAGTAGCCGCTTCCTGCGTGGCCTGATGCGGTGTAGCCAACACCAGCTGATCCTGTGCCTATTGTGACAGTTGACCCAGCACCTGATGAACCGTGGTAGACACCTCCTTGGTAGCCTGTCGTTCCATGAGACGATCCACCTTGATCTTTCACTCCTGTCGATCCTCCTTGATATCCACCTTGACCTGTCGATCCTCCTTGGTATCCACCATGACCTTTCACTCCTCCTTGGTATCCACCTTGTCCTTTCACTCCTCCTTGGTATCCACCTTGGCCTGTCGATCCACCTTGATATCCACCTTGACCTGTCGATCCACCTTGGTATCCACCATGACCTGCCGATCCTCCTTGGTATCCACCATGACCTGTCGATCCACCTTGATATCCACCTTGACCTGTCGATCCACCTTGATATCCACCTTGCCCTGTCGATCCTCCTTGATATCCACCTTGACCTGTCGATCCTCCTTGATATCCACCTTGCCCTGTCGATCCACCTTGATATCCACCTTGACCTGTCGATCCTCCTTGATGTCCACCTTGACCTGTCGATCCTCCTTGATATCCACCTTGCCCTGTCGATCCTCCTTGATATCCACCTTGCCCTGTCGATCCTCCTTGATATCCACCTTGCCCTGTCGATCCTCCTTGATATCCACCTTGCCCTGTCGATCCTCCTTGATATCCACCTTGCCCTGTCGATCCTCCTTGATATCCACCTTGCCCTGTCGATCCTCCTTGATATCCACCTTGCCCTGTCGATCCTCCTTGATATCCACCTTGCCCTGTCGATCCTCCTTGATATCCACCTTGCCCTGTCGATCCTCCTTGATATCCACCTTGCCCTGTCGATCCTCCTTGATATCCACCTTGCCCTGTCGATCCTCCTTGATATCCACCTTGCCCTGTCGATCCTCCTTGATATCCACCTTGCCCTGTCGATCCTCCTTGATATCCACCTTGCCCTGTCGATCCTCCTTGGTATCCACCATGACCTGTCGATCCTCCTTGGTATCCACCTTGACCTGTCGATCCTGCTTGGTATCCACCATGACCTGTGGATCCTCCTTGATATCCACCTTGCCCTGTCGATCCTCCTTGGTATCCACCATGACCTGTCGATCCTCCTTGATATCCACCTTGACCTGCCGATCCTCCTTGGTATCCACCATGACCTGTCGATCCTCCTTGATATCCACCTTGCCCTGTCGATCCTCCTTGGTATCCACCATGACCTGTCGAACCACCTTGGTATCCACCGTGACCCTTCTGTCCTCCTTGATACCCTGATCCACCCTGATATCCTCCATGATATCCACCCGTAGATCCCGTGAATCCATCAGGCAATGCTCCCGTATAATACCCGCCAGTACCCGGAGTAGTTCCAGTACCATATCCTCCATGTCCATAATCAAGTCTCGTGTAGCCACTGCCAGTGTAACCTTCCACCAACCAAGGCCACTCGCAAACCAATTTGTGTTCGTCGAAGATGAGACCGAATGGACAACGGAATTCGTACGCCATCATATGTGGACCTCCTACATAATTTGAACACAACATTTAATTCCACTCTAATTTGAAAGTACATTTAAAATACATTTAAAAGTAGAGATGCTGAATAAGAAATAAGAACCTAGGTCTATACAGGCGAAGAACCATCTCGGATTCTGTGGGTCGGCATAATATCCTGGTGTTGAAGGACATTCGAACCTTACTCGAGCTACCGGTGCAATTTCGCTGCTTCCCGGACAGGGAGATCCTTGAGACAGTGATCCTGGCCAGACGCAGACCTCTGTAGTTTCATCGAACGCCAGACCTGCTGGACAGTCGAACTCGAAAACAGAGTAGTCTTCGATTTCTTGGTTGAATTTGACGCATCGGTAAAATCTGTGGAGAGGAATGAATCAAAATAGATTCAATTTTTTTGAATTTCTCTAAGGTACCTGTTGCAACTCTTTGGATGAACAAAGTAGCCCTGTCTCGAGCAGACAAATTCAGTTTGGGTGTTCTCACGAACCGCCCTGATGTGTCCTTCGGTGTCCACCACACGTACCACCCGAAAATCGGATGACCTGACTTTTGTAGGATAGGACAGCTCGGTTTGCTGAAATTTTGAAGACGTAAAATGATTCAAATTTCAAAATACGAGTTATAATGAAATATACTGCCATCTATCAATAGTTGTGTTACTTGAATTTTCACTTCATGTTAACTTTTTGATAAATGTTTCAACGTGTGAATGTAATCAAGAAAGTTAGTCTAATGACTTTCATGAAATTACAATTGTACTAGTTTAAATTTTAAGCAGCTGGTGAATTATACTCAAAATTATTTTGTTCAAATGTTCGGCCGGTAAAGTAGTTACCATACTTAACGACTGACAGTAAAAAAGATTATTACACTTTCGTGCTTACATGTAAATCATCTTCCAGGGCGTCCAAAACAGCAGCCCTCGTTTTTCTCTTGAAGTCCATGAACGAATGATTGAGTTCATACGTCAGTGGCTTTCCACACGTCGTTTCGGTGTCGTTCTCTATATCTCTTATTGCAAGTCCAGGTAGATCCCGAATCAGCGCATATTTTCCCTATAAAAACATTTCATTAATTTCCAAACATACACTAAGTAAAACATACAGCTAAATAATTGTTGAACATACGAACCTTTATGCTGACAGAAATTTTATCTTCAAACGCGATCCAGGTTTTATTCTTGAACGCATACGGCGCAGTCAGATCCTCGTCCCTTTCGACCGTCCATTCACCTTGATTCATCAGATCGCACAACTATAAAATCAAGAATATGAAAACTTTACTAAAGAATCAATCAGCGTTTATCAAAGAGTCAATCAACTGAAAAATCAAGAATATGAAAACTTTATTAAAGAATCAATCAACGACGTTGACATCACATACCTGTTTCTGATCAATGATAACCGGTTGCATGTCTTCAGTCGGCGCCCTTGGAGCATTATCGTCCTGATCCTTCAGAGTGAATTCGTACGCGTTGGATGGCAGTGACACCAAGATTTTTCGCTTTGGCACTCCCAATCCGCTTATTAAGTCGATCAGATTGTCGGCGTTGAACATGTCGAAGAGACCCATCAGTCGAGAGGGATGGAAGGTTCGGTAGGCCTCGTCGTCTTCGACCAAGTAGTGCGTTGGAATCGTAAATAGATCCACATACCTGATGCGTATGAAATGGACGTTAGTTGATTAGGTAGCAAGGAATAGATAATGCAAATTACAAATGGCTATCACGGTTTAACTTCTTAAAGTGTGACACTTTGTCGGGACTCACTTGTGACGCAGTTATTGCTCAAATGTGACAAACCTTACTCAAGTTTTGTGACAAACCTTACTCAAATTTTGTGACACACTTTACTAAAATTTTGTGATACACCTTACTCAAATTTTGTGACACCTTACTCAAATTTTGTGACACACCTTACTCAAAGTTTTTGAATACTCAACTTGAAATTTGGGTCCAACTATAAGTTGCGTTATCAAGGATCCTTGAATATATAGTACTCAGAACATTTTAATTGCCAAGTGATTAGAACTGTTCTACATTACGTAGTGGTGTTGGTATCGAGTTCATTAGTACCTCAGCGACAGGTCAATCGACTCATTCATATTCAACGAAATATTCGTATACGATTTGCGTAATGATTGTCTGGGAAATTGTCCATTGTGAGGAAGTGGAGGAAGTTTTGAAGAACCTGGACTGACCCCAGAGACACTTAGGTCTTGGGAAATTTGGACATCTTTGCATAGTAATACTACAGTCTGGTATCCTAGTCAATTTAGAGGTCATCTATCTGTAGACTGAGGAATATGGAGAACCTGGAGGAGCTGGAGGAGTGAAGTTATTGAGGACTTAGAGATTTAATAGTTGTGTTGATTCCAACGAAATCCAAGCTTTAGAGATTTAATAGTTGTGTTGATCCCAACGAAACCTAGGTCCTAAGTATCCTAGGTAACACTATAGTCAGTAGACAGATTTACTATTAGGAAATTTAGAGATCGTATTACCTATCTTCAACCTGAGGAATCTGATGAACCTACAGGGGAGCCTACAGGGTCTGAAACTAACCTAGTCTTTAATGACCTAGATTCCACGACCTAGAATTCTTGAAAACTATAAGAAACCTGGAGATCTGTAACCTACTGTCACCTACAGTAAGAAATATAGAGACCTTCAGGAACCTAGAGAATCTATAGACCCTGAGGAACCCAGGTAACCTCGAGAATCCACAGAACCTCAAATTTACTGTCACTTACAGTAACCTAAGAAATATAGAGACCTTCAGAAACCTAGAGAATCTATAGATCCTGAGGAACCCAGGTAACCTTGAGAATCCACAGAACCTCAAATTTGAAAGTTAGAAGCTAGCAATATAGATCAAAATTGTTAAACCCCAGGTGACCTTGAGATTCCACAGAACATCAAATCTGAAAGTTAGAAGCTAGCAATACAGATCAAACTGCTTAAACCTCAGGTGACCTTGAGATTCCACAGAACTTCAAATCTGGAAGCTAAAAGCTATCAATATAAAAATACTTGATCACCCACCACCAAATCTCGACCCAAAAACTATAACTACCACAAGAACTCAAATACTAAAACCTTCATTGCATCACAATTGCGTTATCGACTCAAAATCTCATCTCACAACAACCGCTTTACAACTCCGTTCTTGATTCGACAATAAAACTTGTCATCGTTCTCATTCACATTCAGCTCGAGTTCATCCATATTCAATGAAAAAGTTCGATGACTGTTCGAACAATTCGTGAGACGTATCTCCGTGAACAATCAACTGGTGCATCAGCACGGTTGCAGCATTCCTATCGAGCCGACAACTGGCACAAGGTTAGGCACCCAACATGGATGAGCAGTTTTTGCAGAGATCTCTCGCTCGGTCAATAATTCATCGGATTAATTGCGGCGACACGTAACCGGTATCGCGAAAGAAGTTCCCTTAATCCGTTAACCAAATCTTTTTTAGAAACTTTCGTTACAACGTAATTTATCTTACGGGTTAATTGGACCTTTCACTGGAGTTTTCGGATAAAAGAACGTTGTGAGAGCATGAGTCGATGAGTAATCTTAACTGTTACTTAATGTTACGATAGACTGTCATTTTGTATTACATGAATTAAATGATTACATGTATTACTTAAATTTTAAGTAACTTAAGTTTGTTAATTAACTTAAGTTTAACTACTATTAAGTTAGTTAATTAACTTAAGTGAAAGTACTATTAAGTTAGTTAATTAACTTAAGTTAAACTATTATTAAGTTAGTTATTTAACTTAAGTTAAACTACTATTAAGTTAGTTATTTAACTTAAATTTTATTACTATTAAGTTAGTTAATTAACTTAAGTTTTATAACTTAAATTTTGATGATTTAACAAGAACTTGAATTAATTACTTGGATAGTTCTTTCAGGTCGAACTGCTTCGCTAGTCCTTCTGGTTTTGTGGGAAGGACCAGGAAGATCCTCGTGTCGTACGATTTCCTCACCATTTCGTCTTTTAAACCCTTGATGAAGTGCACTAAACGTTCCTTGGAACCTGCAGTCATGTTCAGCTCGATTCCATCGACCTACAGAATGAATTATTATTAGCAGTTTATGTATTATTATACATTATACATTGTACATTATTAGCTTGTTCATACATTACACCTTAGCTTGTTCATACATTATACATTATTAGTTTGTTTATACATTACACATTATTAGCTAGTTTATACATTACACATTATTAGCTAGTTTATACATTACACATTATTAGCTTGTTTATATTTACTTTACACATTATTAGCTTGTTCATACATTATACATTATTAGCTTGTTCATACATTACACATTATTAGCTTGCTTATACATCACACATTATTAGCTTGTTAGTAATTATTATCAGATTAATTATTTTCGAATTAATGTTAATACAGAAACATGAGTTACCTCTTTCAAAATACCACTGAGACGTGCAGTGATCTCCTGACGAACCGTACCGGAAGTCCTCAGGGTCTTCCCAGGGTCGTCAACAGAGATCACGAATTGCAGTGCAGGATTGATTTCTTTCAGCGATTTCCGAAAGTCTTCAAATTCTAAAAAAAGTTCGTATGTGACCAAAAAAAAATTTTATTATATTTCTGTTAATATTATATCACATATTTGTTAACGTGTTTCATGTCACATATGTCAATCCGTGTATCACGTTTCGCTGTGAAAGTTCACGGTAAGAGTAATTAAAAAAACTGTTACTTAATTGTCAACTAAATTTCTCTATCAGTTTACGAACAAAAAGTTGTCGCAGGAATTTCCGCCTTTCTTTCATTGCCGATCTTGGACAATCAGGTGAGACAAATCACTGACTCTGTACAATTAATCAACTTTCACATATTTTTCGTAATTACGATGGAGACAGTTTAAAAAGATCTAAAGATGATCATAATGATCATGCAACATTGCTTCTATTCAGAATTAAGCAGCAGATCAATTTACTATTGATAGTGGTACTTCCAAGCCTGGTATTTTCGCGCTTGGTACTTCCACGCGTGGTATTTCCACGCTTGGTACTTTCACGCGAGGTATTTCCACGCTTAGTACTTCCACGCGTGGTATTTTCAAGCTTGGTACTTCCATGCGTGGTATTTTCATGCTTTGGTACTTCCACGCGTGGAATTTTTACGTTTGGTACTTCCACGCGTGGTATTTGTACGCTTGATACTTCCACGCGTTGTAATTCGACGCGTGGTAATTCGATGCGTGGTAATTCGGCGCGTTGTAGTTCCACGCATGGTGACTCCACGCGTGGTAATTCGATACGTGGTAATTCGACGCGCGGTAATTCGATACGTGGTAATTCGACGCGCGGTAATTCGATACGTGGTAATTCGACGCGCGGTAATTCGATACGTGGTAATTCGACGCGCGGTAATTCGATACGTGGTAATTCGACGCGCGGTAATTCGATACGTGGTAATTCGACGCGCGGTAATTCGATACGTGGTAATTCGACGCGCGGTAATTCGATACGTGGTAATTCGACGCGCGGTAATTCGATACGTGGTAATTCGACGCGCGGTAATTCGATACGTGGTAATTCGACGCGCGGTAATTCGATACGTGGTAATTCGACGCGCGGTAATTCGATACGTGGTAATTCGACGCGCGGTAATTCGATACGTGGTAATTCGACGCGCGGTAATTCGATACGTGGTAATTCGACGCGCGGTAATTCGATACGTGGTAATTCGATGCGTAGTAATTCGACGCGTGGTGACTCCACGCGTGGTAATTCGGCGCGTGGTAATTCGATACGTGGTAACTCGACGCGTGGTATTTACACGCATGGCAATTCAATACGTGGTAATTCGGCGCGTAGTAATTCGATCCGTGGTACTTCCACGCGTGGTATTTTCACGCTTTATACTTCCACGCGTGAAATTGTCACGCTTGGTACTCCCATGCTTGGTATTTTCCTTAACTATCTAAGAGTGAAATAACTTTTTAAACTGAAATAAATAGAAAATGAATGCCATGAATATTATCACATAGCAATAAATAAATATACCACAAGAAAGAAGTTGAGTCAAAATGACCACCCAGTAACAATTAACAATCACCATTTTATTATCCCATAAAACAGTCATTTTCCCAGAGACATGTTTCAAATTACAAACGAACGTGTAGCAATAAAATACAGCACATGATTCATAAATTACGTACATATCTCCAAAATAGCCGGTAATTAATTACTCTCACGACGTGAATCTTATAATTCCAAGCGATTACCTTTGTACAACTTGGAGTTGCAAAAAAAATGTACGTTTAAGAAGGAATAAATTATCCGTGCTCCTCGAACCGATATATTTTGTGCTCCTCAAACTGAGTGAAAGTCAAGTTTGAATAAATTTCATGAAACTGCAACCGATATTAATGTACATTGAAATATTCATCGCTCTACGAAGAAATCGAGTGGTGAAGAAGAAAAAATGGACAGTAACTCGAAAAAATATAATTCAACGGTGCGTGCGAGGGAAAGTGATGTCTGATTACATCTGGATCGTCTATAAGGACCACTTTCGAGTGTCCTCGGTTCTCATTAACCACGCCCATGCATGAATTTTATATAGGGTGACTTGGAAATGGGTCAGTACATTCCGTGGGATTGTTGAGAAGAAATTTAGAAACCTCATAGCACTGCAAATTTTTAACTACGAAGTAAAAAGTGAATAAGTATGAAAATTTAAAAATTGAAATATGAAGAAATTTACTGGTGCTGAAATTCTAATTTTAAAAAATTAAAAAATGATCAAATAAAAAATGAATAAATACAAAATTCAAAAAATTAAAAAATGTAGATATGTGTACGTACTCAAATTCTAATTTAAAAAGATTAAAAAACACCCACATAAAAAATGAATAAATACAAAATTTAAAAAATTGAAGAATGCAAAAATTCACAGGTGCTAAAATTTCAAATATGAAAGAATTAAGAAAGTATCAAATAAAGACTGAAAAAATACAAAAATTAAAAAATTGTAAAGTGTAGAAATTTGCAAATGTCAAAAGTTAAAAAGTAGAAAAATTAAAGAAATACCAAATAAAGAGTGAATAAACACAAAACTTAAAAAATTGTAAAATACCTAAATTTGCAAGTGCAAAAATTTCAAAAATAAAATAATTAAAAACCTATCAAATAAAGAGTGAATAAATACCAAAATTGAAAAATTGAAAAATACCTAAATTTGCAAGTGCCAAAATTTCAAAAATAAAATAATCAAAAACCTACCAAATGAAGAGTGAATAAATACCAAAATTTAAAAATTGAAAAATACCAAAATTTGCAAGTGCCAAAGTTTCAAAAACAAAAAAACTAAAAAAACCATCAAATAAAGAATAAATAAATCCAAAAATTAAAACATTGAAATATACAAAAATTAATTAGTATAAATTTGAATACAAAAGAACGAATAAATCAGCGAACACCGCTAACAAAGCTAAAAATATATGAATCTGGGAATAAAGTATAGAGTTCACTCGCAAGTGTTACGAAACGAGGCTAATTAATATAGCAGTCTAAAGTGAAAGACGAAAGGGGGCGAGATTCGAGAACTGGTTCCCAATGGCACGTCCTTGCGAGTCAATTTTAATTGACATTCTTTATCAAAGAAATTTTTCTCCGCGAAACGAGGCGTCCGAACGCGACCATTCATGGTAAAGCGATGGCGGCGTGCGTGGAAAAAAGAAACACAACCGAATCTTTTCGTTTTCGCGCGATTATGTCACAAACACGATGCCTTTTTCGTTTCAGGTTTTTCTTCTTCTCGTCTTTCTTCTTTTTCTACGCCTTCCCGTGATTCGTGATGTACGACGAATATTGGATTTCACGCGTGACATACCGTCAACACCGCACTCTGTTATGTATAACAAATTGATTTTCGTGAAATTTCGAAACCAACTTGTTTTTTCCGATGGACCCAATTTTCTGTTGCGCAACGGTATTGCAATTTTATATGCATATCGGCGAATTGCGAGATTCCGGTTTGGTTTGTTAAATTGCCGAGTGAACTTTTCACCCTTGCATCTTTCATTATAAGATTTCAGTAATTTTGGCACACGAAGAATTTGTACGTTTAAAATGTAAAGAAGCCGACAATTTAATTTCTGACTTAAAAGGTACAAAAATATGAAATTCACACTTTATACTTTTTATGCGTGGAAATTCAGCGCGTGGCAATATAATGCGAGGCGATATAATACATGAAAATTCAGCGAATGGCAATATAACGCGTGGAAATTCAACGCCTGACAATATAACGCGTGGCGATATAATTCGTGGAAATCCAGCGCGTGGAATTTCAATGCGTGGCAATATAATGCGAGGCGATATAATCCATGGAAATCCAGCGAATGGCAATATAACGCGTGGAAATTCAACGCCTGACAATATAACGCGTGGCGATATAATTCGTGGAAATCCAGCGCGTGGAAATTCAATGCGTGGCAATATAACGCGTGGCGATATAATTTGTGGAAATCCAGCGCGTGAAAATTCAATGCGTGGCAATATAATGCGAGGCGATATAATCCATGGAAATCCAGCGCGTGGAAATTTAGCGAATGGCAATATAACGCGTGGAAATCCAGCGCATGGCAATATAACGCGTAGAAATTCAGCGTGTGGCAATATAACGCGTAGAAATTCAGCACATGGCAATATAACGCGAGACGATATAATTCGTATCAATATAACACGTACCATTATCAGCAAAATATATATCAAACTTCAACAGCAATATTTAATTAGTAGCAACTCGAAATTAAAAGTTTGCCAATTAAGCAAAATAAAAGAAAAGAAATAATTTGATCGGAAGCTCGTATAAAAAGGCAGACAAGGCACCAGACACGGTTAAAATATTCATCGAACACAATGCTCGATGAATATTCATGGAAATCGATCGCATTAATCTCCAACGAACATCACACATTGTACAGACACTTTCGATTTCGCATTAAAAAGTTTGGCTTTAAAGTTTCAACGACTCAATAAGTTCGACATTATGCAATCCCAATTTGTACCTACTGGGTGTCTTTAAAAGCATTTACATACGAGACGTCGAAGTAGCTCGTTGGTAACTTATGAAGTTCGATTGACCCATATCGCATAATCGATAAACGGAGTTCATTGAATTCATTATCTCTCTGTGGAAATTTGTGGACAGTCACGAACAAGAGTTGAATCTCTGTATCGAACATTAACGATTTCTTTTTATGTTACTTGTTCTATGATTTTAATAAACTTAATACTTTCGTTATATTGCCACGCGCTGGATTTCCACGAGTTATATCGCCACGTGTTGGGTTTCCACGAATTATATCATCACGCGCTATATTGCTACGCGTTATATAGCCACGCACTGAACTTCCACGCGTACTACAGCCACGCGCTGAATTTCCACGCGTTATATCGCCAAGCGCTGTATTTCCACGCGTTATATTGCCACGCGCTGGATTTCCACGAGTTATATCGCCACGTGTTGGGTTTCCACGAATTATATCACCACGCGCTATATTGCTACGCGTTGAATTTCCACGCGTTATATAGCCACGCACTGAACTTCCACGCGTACTATAGCCACGCACTGAATTTCCACGCGTTATATCGCCAAGCGCTGTATTTCCACGCGTTATATTGCCATGCTCTGGATTTCCATAAATTATATCGCCACGCGTTATATTGCCACGTGTTTCATTTCCACGCGTTGGATTTTCACGAGTTATATCGCCACGCGTTATATTACCACAAGTTGTTATATAAAATAACAAGTCTTGAATAAATTATGAAACTGTAAAGAATGAATACCGAATTTTTGATCCAAAATTTTGAGAAACACAAAATCTAATATACTCTTCATCAGCAATAAGCGGTGATGCGCTAACAGAAATATGATAGAAGAATCGATTTCACGATATCGAACGTAAGAGTATACGCGCATTGTGGTTGGATTTCGATATCCTGCATAAGTGCAACGATGCGTCTGCACCTCGATCGACAGAATGAATTTATGCAATCGTGAGAAAATAACAATGCTGCGTTGAAAAGAAAAAAAGGTCTTGAAAGCTTATCGAGAACGATTATCTTCAGTTCCGATAACAATGTAAGATGATTTATTTCAGATGCGTTCGCACGATGTCCGGAGAGATACGAGGAATCACGTGACTTAATCGTTTCTGCATATCACTGATTGCCACGATTATCGCGAATCAAAGGATCCGTTTTTCCGAACGATTAACGCTTGGAAAAATTATCGTATTACGTTTCAGACGCATACGATTAGCGACTATTATGGGAAATGAAATATGCTTGATGCTTACCGGAAATCGAAAGATTTTGCACGTCATAACCTTGCTGCACCAGGGTGGTGCATTTGCAGACGGCCTCGGTTAGCTCGGACACGTCGGAAACGGAAGTGTAGCAGACCACTTCTCTGCCTGGTGATATTTTCTGCTTTGGGCATTCTGAAATCAATTTTCATTCATATCAATACTTTTGTCTTAATTTTATTTTTTTTTACTTACATTAATATTCAATTTTTTATTACTTAACATTAATATTCAATTTTGTATTATTTAACATTAATATTCAATTTTTTATTATTTACGTTAATATTCAATTTTTTATTAATTACGTTATTATTCAATTTTTTATTAATTACATTAATATTCAATTTGGTATTACTTTTAATTACCAACGTTTGTACTATGTAATTGACGTTTTGATGATTTCGTTTGGGAAGATTAGGTTTATTCGGTAAGAAAGCGTGAAACTTGATGTGCAAAGATAATGGACTAACAGAAAACAATTACTATGATCATGCATCTTTGGTTATGTACTTTGTGCAAAATAACAATTTTTTTTAAATTGAAAGTAATGTATAATTATTAACGAACATAGTGATTGTTTCAATATTATTGTATTAATGTAGCAACAAGGTATATAATATTCATTATATATTAATTTTTATTCATTATTAAGTTTTGTCACGTTTGAAGAAAATTATTTTAACAGTTCAATTTATAAACTTAACATAAATAATAATAAATATTTACAAAGATATTTTAACAATAAAACATGATAAATGGCGAAGATCATTCAGATAATTTAATCTAACATTAGATTCAATAATTAAACGAGTTCGCAAGTTTATATTTCAAACTTGCCGCCAAGATCCCAAGTACGCGTTTGAAATTGGCGCCAAACGCGCTCCCGCTATGGCGTTCAAAATTTAGCGCCAAACAAGTTCCAAAGTATTCAACATTCGTTTCTCAAGTTACATGCTTAAATATTAAATAAAATAGCACCTATCAAGGTTATATAAACCATAAATTTAAATAAATTACTATAAAACAATGTAATAACTTGTACACATGTGATAAAGTCCGCCATGTTTACATTGTTCTTTAAAAGTATCATTATTCTCAAATAATTAATTGAATTAACACAATCAATTCTAAATATAATTTTTAACAACTCCTCTCATCAATTTTTGTTAATTTTTGTCAATAAAAATCAATTTTTTAATAAATTCTTTTTAATACGTTTTTTAATAAAAATTCTTTTTCAATAAATTCTTTTTAATAAATTTTTTAATAAAAATTCTTCTTCAATAAATTCTTTTTAATAAATTGTTTAATAAAAATTCTTTTTATATAAATTCTTTTTAATAAATTGTTTAATAAAAATTCTTTTTCAATAAATTCTTTTCAACAAATTTTTTAATAAAAATTCTTCTTCAACAAATTCTTTACAATAAATTTTTTAATAAAAATTCTTCTTCAACAAATTCTTTACAATAAATTATTTAATAAAAATTCTTCTTAACAAATTTGTTAATAAAGAATTTTTTCTTAATGAATTCTTTAATAAAAAAAATATCAACAACAGAAAATTGCATCTCCTCATACTTCAAGCTTAAAAAAAAACCACGTTAACTCATCGAAGACTACCAATAACCCATCCATCAAATAATTAAAATTAATACTCAAATCAATCCTAATTTGCCTTTAAATTAACAATGACTCGCATCGAATAATCATGAAACGGACTTGATCTTCCACGGCCATGAAGACCGACGATAAAAAAAGGAAATAAATATACGAGCCAAAAAATTAGTAGGTTCGGAGATTCCGTTTGTTATGTACATTGATTGAACGTTGCCGTTGACATCATCCTTCATACGCTATGCAACTCTGTTGCTATAATAGTCGTTTACATAGTCACGCAGCCTTGTACTGACGACATGAAAAAGAAAGAATCATGCTTAGGATGCTCCTCGCGAGAAAACAACCATTCGCTGATTATCGCTTCGCATTTATTAATAATCAATTCTTTTTTGTAGCGGTATTCAAGTTATTAAATCAATGTAGGAATTGTCGGAGAATTATTTCGAGAAATAACGGATAGAACGTGTGACGTAAAATCAAATTGAAATCTTCGTTGTGCAGGTTTCTTAGAAATCAATATATTAACGAATATGTAAATTGATTAGTAGATGCGAAGCTTAATCTTTTAGGAGAAAATGAGTGACTCATTGTACGATTGATTTTTGTTTCTGGGAATGTGAGAAGGAACTATATAAATTACTTCTTTGTAAGGCAAGTTGGGGATATTCTGAGACTTCGGAGGTTAACAATAAATAAATTGAAAGGCGAAAATATTAGTGTTTTAAGGAGTTGTAAGAAGTGCATTCCGAATACTCTAACACACCGAATTCGTAAACTTTCAAGGTTAGAAAAATTTGAGTTCCTAAAACTTCGAAATTGTAATAATTTAAATTAATATTTTCTAGAGTTCCTAGACTTTACTATTCCTCAAGATCCAAAAATTACTCAAGATACCTATTTCAATAAAATTTCAACATTCCGAGTTCTTAGAGTTCCTTGAATATCAACGTTTGGAGTTCTATAAAACTGTAGATCTCAACATTCCAAGTTCCCAAAGTCTAAGAATTCTAATATTCCGAGTTCCCGAGGTTCCACAATTCTAATATTACGAGTTCCTAAAGTTTCACGATTTTAATATTCGCAGTTCTCAACGCTAAAAAATTCTAACATTCCGAGTTCCAATGGTTCCATCATTCTAACATTCCGAGTTCTCAACGTCCTCAAAATCTTAACGTTCTGAGTTCTCAGCGTCTCCCAAATTCCATCATTCCGAGTTCTCCACGCCCCAAAATTCTAATCTTCCGAGTTCCATGATCCTCCGAATCTTCACATTCCAAGTCCTCAGCGTCTCTAAAATTCCATCATTCCGAGTTCTCCACGTCCAAAAATTCTAACCTTCCGAGTTCCCAAGATCTCCCAAATCCTCACATTTCGAGTTCTCAACGCTCCCAAAATTCTAACCTTCCGAGTTCTCAAGGCCCCCAAACTCCATCATTCCGAGTTCTCCACGCCCCAATATTCTATCCTTCCGAGTTCCCAAGGTTCCCCAAATCCTCACATTCCGAGTTCTCAGCGCCTCCCAAATTCTAACATTTTGAGTTCGCCACGTCCCAACATTCGACCATTCCGAGTTCTTCATTCCTCAATATTTTAACCTCGCCAGTTCCCAAAATCTCCCAAATTTGCACATTCCGAGTTCTCAGCGTTTCTAAAATTCCACTACATTCCGAGTTCTCCACGCCCCAATATTCTAACCTTCCGAGTTCCCAAGGTTTCTCCAATCCTCACATTCCGAGTTCTCAGCGCCTCCCAAATTCTAACCTTCTGAGTTCTCCACGTCCTAAAATTCTAACATTCCGAGTTCTCCACGCCCCAATATTTTAACCTTTCGAGTTCCCAAGATTCCCCAAATCTTCACATTCCGAGTTCTCAGCGTCTCTAAAATTCTACTCCATTCCGAGTTCTCCACGCCCCAAAATCTCATCACTCCGAGTTCTCAGCGCTTCCCAAATTCTAACCTTCTGAGTTCTCCACGTCCTAAAATTCTACCATTCCGAGTTCTGCACGCCCCAATATTTTAACCTTCCGAGTTCCCAAGATTCCCCAAATCTTCACATTCCGAGTTCTCAGCGTCTCTAAAATTCTACTCCATTCCGAGTTCTCCACGCCCCAAAATCTCATCACTCCGAGTTCTCAGCGCTTCCCAAATTCTAACCTTCTGAGTTCTCCACGTCCTAAAATTCTACCATTCCGAGTTCTGCACGCCCCAATATTTTAACCTTCCGAGTTCCCAAGATTCCCCAAATCTTCACATTCCGAGTTCTCAGCGTCTCTAAAATTCTACTCCATTCCGAGTTCTCAACGCCCCCAAATTCCATCATTCCGAGTTCCCAAGATTCCTCCAATCCTCACATTCCGAGTTCTCACCGTCCCTCAACATCCTAACCTTCCGAGTTCTCCACATCCCAAAATTCCATCATTCCGAGTTCTTCGCACCCTATAACCCAACCTTCCAAGTTCGAAAATCCTCCAAATCCTCATGTTCCTCGAATATCAAAATATTCAAGGAACTCGGAATGCTGGACTTTTATTGAAATCTTAAGCAATTTTTGCATCTCGAGAATTAGTAAATTCTAGGGACTTTGGGAATTTAAAACATTACAGTTTTGAGGTTTCAGGAGCTCAAATTGTTATAACCTTGAAACTTTCTTCCCCTTATCCTCAACTCCAGAATCCCCAAATCCACAAATTCCAAAACATCAATCTCTCAAACATTTCAAATTCCATCCTTCCAAAGACTACAAACCTTCCTGCATCAACGCAATTCTAAATACCTCTCTAATTGTTTATCTTCCTCAAACATTGTACAGTGAAAGATCAGAATGCATATTTTTCAATCGAGAAGTACAATCGTTAATTTGACAGCGCTGCCGGCGAAACGGAGAAAGCGATTTGAACGCTTTTAATTTCTCAAATCGCGTGCTGCGCTCGAAAATGAAAGTCCACGTAACGATTGTTCGATCTCACGAAAGTTTCGAGCGGTTAAGATGCATCACGCCTATCGATGGAATGCGTTGAATTTTCGTCCGGAATGGAAGATCAAGAGGATTCAGATGACGTAAATGGCAGCGTCCTTGTACGGAGCGTTGCTCCAGTTGCCGATGGCGCAATCTAACCTTAGAGGACAAGCACGCTCGATTAAGAAGAAGAAGCATCGCCGCGCCTTTAATCGCCGTACATGGATTTCGTTTCAATTAAGAAGGAAAACTAGCGGATCACGCGATTCCACAGGTGTTAATAACCAGCGATAACGTAACTTTAACGTAATTCGCGAGATCAACAGTTTTTTGCATTTTGTTAGGAGATTAACACCTTTTTGGAGATTGAAGTGAAGAAGATTGGAGAATTGGAAATGGGAGATGTAGTTGCGTGTTTTAAGGAGTTTTGTGTGGGTGTTTTTTTTTGGAAATATTATTTTAGTGTGAATACTAGTTTAGTATGTGTTTAGTGTACATTTAGTGGGAGTACTTTATGTTTTAATTTTAGAATTAAATATTTTCTAGGTGACTGATCATTTTTTTTATGAAGCTTGCTCAGATTAATAATTTTATGATTTTTTAAATATTTAAATAGGAGATTTAGTATAAATACCAGTTAGTATGAATATATTTAGTATACATTTAGTGCAAGTACTAGTTTAAATTCTGATTTCAAAATTAAATAATTTTTGCATATAAAAATTTTGACTGCTCACTTTTATGATGAATCTTGTTCAGGTTAAGAATTTTAGAGGCTATGATTTTTTTTAAATATTTAAATAAGAGATTAAAAATATATTTTGAAGGTCAAATGAAATTTTTTGAAGGTGAATGAAATTTTTGCTAAAAAACAATTTTTCTTTAAATACATATAGAAATTTGCACTATAAATTTTACACTAACAAGACAGTTTAATAAATTTTAACAAATTTTTAACAATTTTTTACAATTATAGTAATTAATTTCAGTAATTAATTTTAATTTATAACATAGGTTAAATTAAACATAATTGTAGACACATGACATAATATAATTTTAACTAATAACATTTTAATATATAAATAAATAATTTCACAGACTGAAAGTGTGTTTAAAAATATAAACTAAAACATGTAAAGTGTTTTGAAGTATATGAAAATTAATATAAAATACAAATGTGCAAAATATCACCATAAAACAGGTAACAGTGAATTTCAGAAGCTTGTAAGGTGTTGCTGAAAGGTTTGAACGGTGATTAGGGTAATCAGATCTTATCTTTGCAATCTCATTTGCGTAGCGTAAACTACTTCGACCGACGCTTTCATTCATCATTTTCATTCACGACTCGTGTAATGTTACTCTGAACTCAACACGATAATCTTCATTCCTTCACAATAATTCGCAAGTAATTCAAAATAAAATATCCAACACCAAATTCAACATAAATATCCAATAAGAAAATTTGTCATTAATGATATTTAGTATAGTATCATGTATAAATTTCTTTTAAATCATTTACTCAAGTGTATTTTATTTAAGACATTTTCAGAAAATTTTTTTTGCATCAAATTTCATCATTTGTAATTCATAAATTATGTAATGCATAAATTCATAACAAATGTAGTCTTCTAGTATTAGCCTAACACTGTCATTCTTATTCTATAATATATAAAAATTATTAAAAATCTTGCAAGATTACTAAAACCTTGTAACAATCACTTAGACAAACCCTATTGATCTTGACTCTATTCAGAAATAAATCTTAGGAATTTAAAATCTAAAGAGCACTGAACTCATCTAATCAGCAAACCTCATTGCTGATTACTCACTGGACCCTCAAACAAAAATTCCTACAAACCCCATTGTCACAAGAGAATAAACTTCCTTTCAGAAAAACCTTCATAAAATTTAAAACAGCATCAAATCGTTCGATCATCAAATCAAGTCTATCCAAAAATCTTGAAAACTCGGACAACAAGAACCTTGCTCCAAGAACTCTTGCTACAAGAACCTAAACCAAGAACTCTTACTAAGAACCTAAAACCACCTTCATCTACCAGTCCATAAAATAAAAAAAGAAATAATCTTAAAAAACTTACGCAAGCCATAGCAGAGTTCCAGCAGTCCCAAAAGGACCAGCAACCACGTGCGGTTCATCCCAGCCGTTCCCCAAATTTCAGAAACCTTTCCTAAGTTACAAGTTCCTTATCCCAGTAAAAGCGCCAATATCCTCAAGATTCATGGAGACGCGATTAAACCGCGTGCAGAACTCGCGAGTGCCGGGATGTGTCTCTGGTCCAAGAAGTCTAAAGAAGTCAGATCCTTCGAGTTCGAGAGCGCGTTTCGCACTGAACCTTCGGAGGATTCGTGGTCTCTTAGTAAACCCTGAACCGATCGGATGTAAGCGCGGCAACGAGCAGCAAAACTTCGAGGGAGATGGAGTTACATCAGGTACAAGAAGAGGGGATCGTGAGGGAACGAGGAGATCGGATAAACGCGTCGGGACCACCGGATTACCGGGTGCCTGGGTGGGGTGGACAGACTGGCCCAGATCGGGACACTTTCCGTGTTACACGTTACCCACGTATTGTACACGCCAGCAGGTTAAAAATAAGATGACTCGAGGAGCTACTACGTGACTAAACCGATTGCAACGCGTGCGATTGTATGTGCGAAACTGTTTCTTCGTTCTTACTTTTCCTTTCTGTGCTTACAAATTTTCAGTTCGATACGTACAAATTTTTGCTACGATGCAAATTTTTTTTACATGGGTGCATCATGGAAATGTTCTAAATTGAGGGTTAGGGTCAACCTTTGATCAAGTGATTGATGTGTCAATCACTTCTTTTGATGAAGTCATCAAGCTTTTTTGGATACCTGTATCTGTACTTTTTTTATGAGGAATGGTATTATGACAGAAGGTCTAGCTTCCTCATATGTGGATGGTCCACATATGTGAATGATGACCATCTAGGTTTTTGGATATCTGTTTATACTTCTTTTATGAAGATTTATGTTATTATGGCAAAAGGTTATTTAGCTTCTTTCATCCACATATGAGAACCACATATGTGGAGGATGATCATTGCTAGGTTATTTGATATCAATCTGTATATCTTTTGTGAGGACTGTTATTATGGCAGAAGGTTATCTAGCTTCCTTCATCCACATATGTGGACCATCCACATATGTGGAGGATGATCAATGCTAGGTTATTTGATATCAATCTGTACTTTTTTTGTGAGGAATGTTATTATGGTAGGAGGTTATCTAGCTTCCTTCGTCCACATATGAGAACCACATATGTGGACCATCCACATATGTGGAGGATGATCAATGCTAGGTTATTTGATATCAATCTGTACTTTTTTTGTGAGGACTGTGATTATAACAGAAGGTTATCTAGCTTCCTTCATCCACATATGTGGACCACATATGTGGACCATCTACATATGTGGATGATAACAATTACTAGGTTATCTGATATCAATCTGTACTTCCTTTGTGAGGAATAGTATTATGACAGAAGGTTATCTAGCCTCCTTTATCCACATATGTGGACCATCCACATATGTGAATGATGACCATTGCTAGGTTATCTGATATCAATCTGTACTTCTTTTGTGAGAACTATTATTATGACAGAAGGTTATCTAGCTTCATTTATCAACATATGTGGACCATCTACATATGTGGACCATCCACATATGTGGATGATGACCATCACTAGGTTTTTGGATATCTGTCTGTACTTCTTTTGTGAGGACTGTTATTATGGCAGATGATCATCTAGCTTCCTTCATCCACATATGAGGATCATTTACATATGTGGACCGTCCACATGTGTGGATGATGACCCTCTAGGTTCCTGGATATCTCTATCTATATTTCTATAAATGTTATCATGTTAGAAGTTCTCTCTTGCTTCATCCACATATGTCCACATGTCTACCTCTATCTTCAGGTTCTATCATTATCATAAAATATTGAATTCCTAGATCCTGATATACCTATCCCTTATACCTTACACCCTTATCCTTATATCCTTATGTGCACATGTTAATATCTTATAGTCCAATATCACCATCAATGTTGCCTCTACATCATATTCAATGTTGCCTCTAAAATTTTATATGGTAAAGGTTGAAACTGAAAATTTGAACACTACAAAAGTTCAGTAATAAGTGAAGTTCTGTGTAAATAACTTTACGCAGGAAGTATACGATGTATCTACACAATTCCATTAAAATAACATGGAAGTTCAGAGAAAAGGTTTGCATAAAAATCACAGGAAGCTCGTTGTAATCCATCTGGTAGAATCCTTACGACTACCGTGTCTAGACCGCATCCCGTTTTCGTCCACAAATTCGTGAATCGTGTCCTAATTGCCTCGAATCTTACGTAATCCCGGTTTTACCGCTGTCGGTGTTGATTGAAATCCCCCGAAACATTCGACTGTTTATAGAATCGTTAAGTGCTAGAATCACTAGGGTCAATAGCGTGGAACGCCTCGGAAAAAAATTCCTCTTCGTTCGCCAAACAAGCGAAAACTCCCTCCGCGTCTTACCTGTGGCTTCACCTTGATCGCCTAACACGGAACTTGACTTTTATGCTCGCAAGATGTAATCACCTTAACGCTTAGAAGATTATGATTAAATGACCCTGGAACCTTGTTCCAGTTTTTCGGGAAGGTCACAGAGACAGATTTAGTTTTTTCTTAATTGAACGTGAGGTTCGAGCCGCTTCCAGTTTCAGGTGCTTGAAGGATTAATGTTCTTGCAAGATTTATTCGGAGGATTTGAGGCATGGAGAGAATACTTGAAGTACTAATGAGATATTTAAGATATTAACATATGGATACTTGAGGTATATGAAACTCAAATATGATACTTGAGGTACAAATATAATACTTTAGATAAACAAAAATTATATTTTAAGTATAAATATAATACTTGAAGTATAAGAAAGGTATTTGAAAGACACATAAAGTATTTCAAGTATGTATTCTTGAATAAGGCTTGAAGTAAGGTTCTTGGAGTATCCTTTACACGATACAGAAAAGGGAAAGAGAAGCGACAAATTTGGGAAATTAGGGAAATTGGGAAAATTTCGCAAATTTGAAAAATTTGAGAAATTAGAGAAATTAGAGAAATTAGAGAAAATTGTGAAATTAGGGAAATTAGGGAAAGTAGGGAAATTAGGGAAAGTAGGGAAATTTGGGAATTTGGGAAATTTGGGAAATTTGGGAAATTTGGGAAATTAGGGCAATTTTGGAAATTTGAGAAATTTGGGAAATTAGAGAAATTTGAGAAAATTATGAAATTAGGGAAATTTGGGGAATTATGAAAATGTGGGAAAATTGGGAAATTTGAGAAATTAGAGAAACTTCAGAAGTTTGAGAAATTTGGGAATTTTGGGAAATGGGAAATATGGGAAATAGGAAAAATGGAAAATTTGGGAAATGAGAAATTTGGGGAATGGGTAATTTGGAGGAATGGGAAATTTCGGGAATGGGAAATTTTGGAAATGGGAAATTAAAGAAATGGGAAGTTTGTGAAGTGGGTAATTAGAGAAATGGGAAATTTGGGAAATGGGAAATTTACGAAATGGGAAATTTGGGAAATGGGAAGTTTGTGAAGTGGGTAATTAGGGAAATGGGAAATTTGGGAAATGGGAAATTTGCGAAATGGGAAATTTGGGAAATGGGAAATTTGGGAAATGGGAAATTTGGGAAATGGGAAATTTGGGAAATGGGAAATTTGGGAAATGGGAAATTTGGGAAATGGGAAATTTAGGAAATGGGAAATTTGGGAAATGGGAAATTTGGGAAATGGGAAATTTGGGAAATGGGAAATTTGGGAAATGGGAAATTTGGGAAATGGGAAATTTGGGAAATGGGAAATTTGGGAAATGGGAAATTTGGGAAATGGGAAATTTGGGAAATGGGAAATTTGGGAAATGGGAAATTTGGGAAATGGGAAATTTGGGAAATGGGAAATTTGGGAAATGGGAAATTTGGGAAATGAGAAGTGGGAAATTAGGGAAATTTGGGAAATGGGAAATTTGGGAAATGGGAAATTTGGGAAAGAAATTTACGAAATGGGAAATTTGGGAAATGGGAAATTTACGAAATGGGAAATTTGGGAAATGGGAAATTTACGAAATGGGAAATTTGGGAAATGGGAAATTTACGAAATGGGAAATTTGGGAAATGGGAAATTTACGAAATGGGAAATTTGGGAAATGGGAAGTTTAGGAAATGGGAAATTTGGGAAATGGGAAATTTGGGAAATTTGGGAAATGGGAAATTAGGGAAATGGGAAATTTGGGAAATGGGAAATTTGGGGAATGGGAAATTTGAAAAGTGGGAAATTAGGGAAATGGGAAATTTGTGAAATGGGAAATCTGAGAAGTGGGAAATTTGAAAAGTGAGAAAACATTAAACTGCAAAACTAGAATTCTATAAACCTAAAAAATGTGAAATTCGGAAATTTCGAAATTTCCACCATCAAAAATCTGTAAATCTTCAAATTTCCCAACTCCACCACCCTAATCCCATATGCAAATCTCCACGAACGCCTCCATCGTCACTGCACGTGAACCCATCGCTCCCCCTCAACAGTGCACACCTGCCCGTCACTGTCCTAACCAATACCGTACATCGTCCCCACGCTCTCTAACAATATGCTCATTTCAAAAACAACAAAAAACCGTTTGGTACCTGTCGGTCGATCAAAGAAGCACGCGTCACGAACGCCTCACTTCAACTACTCTCCAGCATCATCCGAGTTATCCTCTTCGCGATGTTGCACGCGCGTTTACCGGTTTATCCGGTATGCACGATAAACTCGCATGCGGACAGATTAATCAGCGATGTATGCTAATCAACGACGATCACCGTTTCGCGCGACGTCGAGTTACGTCAGCGAGCATTTTCGTATCATCTTGTTTCCCGCTAATGGATCAAATACAGTGTGCCTATACCCGCGTAACATCGCTCGATAATTATAAGCCAGTTAGGTTTTTACGCTGAGATGACGATTCCAAAATAGCTTCTTGGAGCGGTGACGAGAAAATAACGTTGCAAACATTATTCTTGTACCTTTCAATTTTATTATTACGTTTGGTAGAATTATGGGTTAGGTCATCAATTTCAGATGTAGAGATTGCGTACTTATATCATGGTATTTATTTATCTGCTGGGTTACAAGTTTTAGTTTTTTGGGAAATGAAATTTTAAAATTAGCGAATTTTAATGGTTGTTGATGTGGAAATTTCAATGTTGGAAATTTTTAAGTTTTCAAATTTTTTATGATGAAAATTCTGAAATTTTAAAGCTTGAAAATGTCCAAATCTCAACATAGAAAATTCTCAAATATATTTATCAAATCTGAAGTGCTTAACTTAAAAAATTTTTAACACAGAAAATTCTGAAATGTTAAAGTTTGAAAATGTCCAAATCTCAACCTTGAAAATTCTCAAATATATTAATAAAATCTGAAGATGTTCAATTTTTAAAATTTTCAACACAGAAAATCCACAAATTTCAAAGTTTGAAAGTGTCCAAATTTCACCACTAAAAATTCTGAAATAAAATGATGAACCCAAAAGTATTGAATTTTCAAATTTCCAACACTGAAAATTTCCAACACCAAATTTACAATTTCAAGTTTACCAGAAGCTTACCAGGTCACGCAGCTACAAAGAACTTAAGCTACATGACTTAAGCAACGTTAAATGGCAAAGAAATTCACTAAATCGTGAGGGTAGATCCAACCGAGTCGATAACCAAAAAAGGGTAGATATCCGACTGTCTGTTCGCCGATCGTAGGAAAGAGATTGTCATCGACATCGTCATTGAGTCATGAGAACAGTTCGTTCCGAGAGACAGAATAATGGTGTGCCAGATATAGTTAATCGATTCGATTTTCCGATAAAAGGAACTTGGGTGTGAATCGATGAAAAGTCAATGCTAGAAATTCTAGCTGAGTTTGATATAGCAAGGTATAGTATTTTCACATTTATTCGATGTTGATCAAGTTTATTTGATGTTCAAAATTTATTTGACGATGATCAAGTTTAGGAGGTGGTCCAAGGTGATGATGGGGGAAGCAGGATATTTTTGGAGGAAATATGGAGAAATTTGTGGAGGAAGGATTGGAATGTGAAGGATGTAGTTGTGGAGGGAACATGGTGATATTTGTGGAGGAAGTATGAAAATATTTGTGGAGACACAATAATATTGTTGCTGGAACTTCGAGGAACAAGCAGAAAAATCAGAATATTTGTGGAGGAACTGCAAAAATATTTATGGAGGAACTCCAATGATAGTCATGGAAGAGCCACAAGGATCAACCACAAAGAACAATGTGATCTTTGTAGAGATACCACAGTAATATTCATGGAGGGTCCTCAAGGATTAGAATAATATTTGAGGAGGAAGAACAGTAGTATTCATGGAAGACCTACAAAAATATTTGTGGAGGTACCACAAGGATCAGTCAGAAGGATCAGAATGATATTTGTGGAGGAACAACAGTAATATTCATGGAGCAACCACAAGGATCAACCACAATGAGCAATATGATGTTTGTAGAGGAACCACAATAATATTCATGGAGGGAGCTCAAGGATTAGAATAATATCTGTGGAGGAAGAACAGTAGTATTCATGGAGGACCTACAAAAATATTTGTGGAGGTACCAGAAGGATCAGTCAGAAGGATCAGAATGATATTTGTGGAGGAACAACAGTAATATTCATGGAGCAACCACAAGGATCAACCACAATGAACAATATGATGTTTGTAGAAGTACAATAATATTCATGGAGGGACCTCAAGGATTAGAATAATATTTGTGGAGGAAGAACAGTAATATTCATGGAAGACCTACAAAAATATTTGTGGGGTACCAGAAGGATCAGAATGATATTTGTGGAGAAACAACATAGCATTCATTGAGGGACCACAATGATTCACCAGAAGGATCAAAATCATATTTGTTGAGGAACAGTAATATTCATAGACGAACCACAAGAATCAGCAACGAACAATACAATATTTGAATAGCTACCACAATAATTCACATTACAACTACATCTATCTAACAATCCATAACTTTACAAATCTACAAAAATACAAATCTTGACAAATCCAGTGTCAAGGACACCCAACATACAGAATCTCGAATTCAGTCCATGTTACCGATTTCCCGATAAAACACGATCCCACGCACGGTCAAGATGGATTCCGGTGAATCATCCTGGATAAGGTCGTCCCGTATCCAGGTCTGCGTTCACGTATATCTCTCCATTGCAGTTTCTTCCTACGAGTTACGTCACTTTCCAGAACAGCGACAAACAGCGGTTCAGCCGTGATTTCCGTGGACTTTGTGATTACCACATAGAATCGTTTCATAAATTTTCAATGATTTATTGCTACCTTTAGCGTTCTCGATGCTTGTAATTTTTGACAGATACAACTTTCCTTTCAAGGTGACTCATCTTGTAATAATATTTTATTTTTAACTTGACGAATCTCTTCTCTGTTTTATTGTCTTCATGGTCGTAGCGATACTTCGGGGTACTTTTTTTATTTTATACAGTCATGTTGCTTTCAATACTTCACGTAATTATTTCTGTTGCTTAAATGTGCTCTTCGATGAATTCTGTAAAGATTATTGATTAATCACTGTAAGATATATGCAAAGTTATGTACAGTCATTTATATAATTCAGTAAGGACCTCAGATCTAACGTTAATTGAATATGTGATCGGTTTGAGTATCATGTCTGAACAGCATTGTCTCTTTTTCAAATAATAAAAATGTACATCCTAAACCACACTGTCACATCTTACAGAACATTCATTCATAAATATTGTACTGAAACGTTTTGGACATGGAAGCTCGAACCGAAAGATTGTTTTATGAAATATTAAAGTGTTACTATATATAACGCATCATTAGCAAAGTACGTCTTCAAAGATTATATCCTAAGACAGATATTGATAGCCGTTGGACTCAAGTTAACGATAAAAGAAAAGCGAAATGTCCATCATTCCGCGCTTCGGGCAATCTGGTGCAACGACAATGCACGCGTAGACGAGGGAAAGGAACCTCTTAGAAAATTGCATCGAACGCAAAAAGGCTGTCATCGGTTGAAAACAGGAGACACCTACCACCTGGTGGGCGTTTAGCCGCCTTTTACAAACTGTGTGTCGTGGGTTACGCACCTCTAACGATTTCAAACTTGTCATGAGAAAATATTTTCTTTAATCGCTGGTTTCAGGTAGATTTCCACTTGCGGTTCTTTTTCAATTTTTATATTTTAATATTTTTCGGAAGTGTCATTTCTTAGGTTTTGTAATTTTGTAGATGTGTGATGTACATGTGTGACATACATGCATGATGTACATACATATATGATGTCTACATATCTGACATATATGTATAAAATACATGTGTGATGCACATATGAGATCTACATGCGTGACATACATGTATAAAATGCATGTGTGATGTACATATGAGATCTACATGTGAGACTTACATGTATAAAATACATGTGTGATGTACATATGAGATCTACATGCGTGACATACATGTATAAAATACATGTGTGATATATATGTGAGATCTACATGTGAGACTTACATGTATAACATACATGTGTGATTTACCTGTGTGATCTACATGTGTGATCTACATGTGTGACATACATGTATAAAATACATATACGATGTATATATGAAATCTACATGTGTGATGTACATATGAGATCTACATGTTTGATCTACATATGTGATCTACATGCATCAAATACATGTGTGATGCATATCTATGATCTGCATGTGTGATCTACATATGTGATCTACATGCATCAAATACATGTGTGATGCTTTTTTTATGATCTGCATGTGTGATCTACATATGTGTTCTACATGCATAAAATACATGTGTGATGCACGTGTATGATCTACACGTGTGATCTACATATGTGATCTACATGCATAAAATACATGTATGATGCACAAGCATGATCTACATGTGTGACACACATGTATAACACACATTCCTACAACGAATTTACATCAAGGTTGGCACTGTGCAATTCACCTGTAATACATGTAGTAATCACTCATTAAATAGTCATTAACAGCTCATTAATTTTAAATACAATAATCGAAAACTATAAACATCGATAATAGAAGCACTTACCCGAAACAACCCTTTGACACATAAAAATGCAATATCAATTACTACACCCATCATCAGAAATGACCAGAGTCACATTTTGCAAGACCATGTTTTAAATAGAACCTATTAAAAAATTCCATAACATTCTCGTTGTCCCGACCGGTCAATTTCGCAGTTAAATGTTCCCAAGAGAAAGCGTAAAAAAATCAAGCACATACCTTGTCAAATTTCCGTTACGTAAATGGGAATTAAAGTAAATCCGGCGAGGATTGACGGCGTACATTTCGTGGCAGGCGTCGGCGGCGTGACGCGACACAGCACGTCACGGAAAACCGTGAAAGATGATCTTACGAATTCACGGCGCAGAACGGTGAACTTGTACTTGCGAATAAAACGTACGCCGCTATCGTGCCCGATCTGTCAAAACACAATGCGTTCACGTGAAATCTCGTGGTTCAACGTCGACCTGGTAACCACGTATTCGTAATTTACACGCGGATCGACCTTCTCGCGTTCTGTCGGCTCGTCCGCGCCAAAATATAATCGCGAAACAATGAGACGAGCACGACATGCAAGGTCGGTACAGCGGACATGTTACTAACAGTCGCTGAATATGAGCGCTGAATACATTAATCGAGTGATTTCACGTCTGCGAAGTTAAAGGATATGATTTTATGATGTGACCGAAATTTCGTTCATTCTTGGTATTTTTAGATTTTGGGGATTTTTGGGATTATTGGGATTTTGGGGATTTTTGGGGATTTTTGGATTCGGGAACTTGCGGAATTTGGGACTTATGGAATTGGGGACTTGTGGAATTGGGGACGTGTGGAATTGGGGACGTGTGAAATTGGGGACGTGTGGAATTAGGGAGCTATGGAATTGGGGACGTGTGGAATTGGGGACGTATGGAATTGGGGACTTATGGAATTGGAGCTTATGGAATTGGGGACAGTTAGAATTGGGGACGTGTGGAATTAGGGACGTGTAGAATTGGAGACTTGTGGTATTTGAAACTTGAGAAATTCGGGACTTGAAGAATTTAAAGCTTGAGAGACTGGAACTTGTGGAATTGAAGACCCATAAAACCCATAACCTCAATTTCCCCAAAAACCCACCTAAACCCAAATTTCCCCTAAAAAACACTTCCGCGACTCCACTAACCGATGTATCAAAATGATATACCGAGAGGTGTAAGATATCGAAATAAGGCGATGTATCGAGAGCAATGTGATATAAATATTAAGAAGGGCATAAATATACACTGTACCATATTGTCCGTAGATTAAAATCTCGAAAGGAAACGGACAAGCAAGTTTCTGTTCGATTTCAAGCAAGAAATATGTCTATATCGTTCGAAGCGTGCAGATTGATCGATCTGCAACGATCATTCGATATAAAAGAAACTTATGGCGGAAAAAGAACCACGCCCAGGTACCTGAGGGCCACATAAAGACAGGATATAAAGTTACGGACGGTTACGTAAGGACAAAGTTACAAAGACACGCTCTGCCACCATAAGCCATATTTTCGAGCGTACGTTGCCCATGCATAATATAAAAGGTCACTGTTCACTGCTCCGCAGACAATTTCTCGTTCGAAGGAAAAAGAGATAACAAGGAATTAATAAAACTAGGGTAATTTGTCCTTCTGTTCGAAAAATTCGAACATTCAAGATATATTTTAATATAAAATAATAGAAATTATAAAAATTAACTGCTTGCACGAATTTCTTTTATCCATCAAGTTAAGGTACAAAGTAAATCAAGAAGGGGGTGTGTGATAATGTATAGTCACATAAGTGTGATGCACAGGGTGTCTTGCAAATGTAGGTCCCTGAAATGGCGGGTGCTGACGTGATTGTGAATAGGATTTTCCTTTGCAAAAATAGGCTGGATACCAAGCGTACAAATACCACGCATGGAAGTACCAAGCGTGAAAATATCACGCGTGGAGGTACCAAGCGTGGAAGTACCAAGCGTAGAGATACCACGCGTGGAGGTACCAAGCGTGGAAATACCACGCATGGAAGTACCAAGCGTGAAAATATCACGCGTGGAGGTACCAAGCGTGGAAGTACCAAGCGTAGAGATACCACGCGTGGAGGTACCAAGCGTGGAAATACCACGCATGGAAGTACCAAGCGTGAAAATATCACGCGTGGAGGTACCAAGCGTGGAAGTACCAAGCGTAGAGATACCACGCGTGGAGGTACCAAGCGTGGAAATACCACGCATGGAAGTACCAAGCGTGAAAATATCACGCGTGGAGGTACCAAGCGTGGAAGTACCAAGCGTAGAGATACCACGCGTGGAGGTACCAAGCGTGGAAATACCACGCATGGAAGTACCAAGCGTGAAAATACCACGTGTGCAATTACCAAGCGTAGAAATACCACGCGTGGAAGTACCAAGCGTGGAAATACCACGCGTGAAAGTACCAAGCGTGAAAATACCAGGCGCGGAAGTACCAAGCGTAGAAATACCACGCGTGGAAGTACCAAGCGTGGAAATACCACGCATGGAAGTACCAAGCGTGGAAATACCACGCATGGAAGTACCAAGTGTGGAAATACCACGCATGGAAGAACCAAGCGTGGAAATACCACGCGTGGAAGTACCAAGCGTGGAAATACCACGCATGGAAGTACCAAGCGTAGAAATACCACGCGTGGAAGTACCAAGCGTGGAAATACCACGCGTGGAAGTACCAAACGTGAAAATACCGTGCGTGGAAGTACCAAGCGTAATAATACCACGAATCCAAGAGAAATGAGAAGCCTGCTTAACCACTGCATCCCACTATTAATTTACTTCATTATTTGCACATTACAGTATGCAAATTTAATTGACCATTAAAGTAGAGAAACACCTAAACAGTTTTATAGAATAGACTCATAAAGATTGCATCTTTAATTACGAACATAACGAAGCACCACTTCATAGAATAAACAAAATTACCTTGATATCTAGATCCTATCTTTTCGTATTCTTTCGCACAACATCATTTTCAAAATTTTCTACACGTCAAAGCGAATAAATGTACACACCTTGAATGTAGGAAACGAAGCGGTAGTAAATCCTAAGATGTCGACAAAGGCACGTCAGAGATAAGCCCGGAGGGCTTCGAGCTACTTGTTTCAGCCAAGTGGATTCTTGACGAGCCGATTCCTTTGTGATACGAAAGTTCTCGCACGGGAGAGAGCTTATTTGCATTCGATAACAACCGGCGGCACACGGATGAAATGTGATCGCAGGCGAATGGAATTTCTGGGACCGTTTGGTGAAAACAAAATGGCAGACCAATATATGTAGACATTTTGGAGCAACCAAAATGTGGAGCAACTAGGATTTTGGGTTTTAAGATGGTGGGTTCTTCGGTAAGTTTAATAACTAATTTTTGGTTCTTCACACTTTTGATGATATTAAGGAAAAATAGGAATTAGAGAAAATAGGGTTGGATAATTAAGGAAGTTGAAAATATTTAAATTTGAAATTTGGGAGTTGGGGAGATTGGTAATAGCGAGAGTGAAAAAATTGAAAAAGTGGAGAATTGAGGGGTTTGGGGAATTAGGGAATTGAGAAATTGGGAATTGAGGAATTAAGACACTGGGAATTGAGAGAAATACGGGTTTGGAAGATTGAGAAATTGGGGACTTGTGGAACTGAGGAGTTATGGAATTGGGGACTTGTGGAATTGGGGACTTGTGGAATTGGGGACTTGTGGAATTGGGGACTTGTGGAATTGGGGACTTATGGCATTGGGGACTGGTGGAATTGGAAGCTTGAGAAATTGGGGACTTGTGGAATTGGGGAGTTATGGAATTGGAGACTTGTGGAATTGGGGACTTGTGGAATTGGGGACTTATGGAATTGGGGACTTGTGGAATTGGGGACTTGTGGAATTGGGGAGTTATGGAATTGGAGACTTGTGGAATTGGGGACTTGTGGAATTGGGGAGTTATGGAATTGGAGACTTGTGGAATTGGGGACTTGTGGAATTGGGGAGTTATGGAATTGGAGACTTGTGGAATTGGGGACTTGTGGAATTGGGGAGTTATGGAATTGGAGACTTGTGGAATTGGGGACTTGTGGAATTGGGGAGTTATGGAATTGGAGACTTGTGGAATTGGGGACTTGTGGAATTGGGGACTTGTGGAATTGGGGACTTGTGGAATTGGGGACTTGTGGAATTGGGGACTTGTGGAATTGGGGACTTGTGGAATTGGGGACTTGTGGAATTGGGGACTTGTGGAATTGGGGACTTGTGGAATTGGGGACTTGTGGAATTGGGGACTTGTGGAATTGGGGACTTGTGGAATTGGGGACTTGTGGAATTGGGGACTTGTGGAATTGGGGACTTGTGGAATTGGGGACTTGTGGAATTGGGGACTTGTGGAATTGGGGACTTGTGGAATTGGGGACTTGTGGAATTGGGGACTTGTGGAATTGGGGACTTGTGGAATTGGGGACTTGTGGAATTGGGGACTTGTGGAATTGGGGACTTGTGGAATTGGGGACTTGTGGAATTGGGGACTTGTGGAATTGGGGACTTGTGGAATTGGGGACTTGTGGAATTGGGGACTTGTGGAATTGGGGACTTGTGGAATTGGGGACTTGTGGAATTGGGGACTTGTGGAATTGGGGACTTGTGGAATTGGGGACTTGTGGAATTGGGGACTTGTGGAATTGGGGACTTGTGGAATTGGGGACTTGTGGAATTGGGGACTTGTGGAATTGGGGACTTGTGGAATTGGGGACTTGTGGAATTGGGGACTTGTGGAATTGGGGACTTGTGGAATTGGGGACTTGTGGAATTGGGGACTTGTGGAATTGGGGACTTGTGGAATTGGGGACTTGTGGAATTGGGGACTTGTGGAATTGGGGACTTGTGGAATTGGGGACTTGTGGAATTGGGGACTTGTGGAATTGGGGACTTGTGGAATTGGGGACTTGTGGAATTGGGGACTTGTGGAATTGGGGACTTGTGGAATTGGGGACTTGTGGAATTGGGGACTTGTGGAATTGGGGACTTGTGGAATTGGGGACTTGTGGAATTGGGGACTTGTGGAATTGGGGACTTGTGGAATTGGGGACTTGTGGAATTGGGGACTTGTGGAATTGGGGACTTGTGGAATTGGGGACTTGTGGAATTGGGGACTTGTGGAATTGGGGACTTGTGGAATTGGGGACTTGTGGAATTGGGGACTTGTGGAATTGGGGACTTGTGGAATTGGGGACTTGTGGAATTGGGGACTTGTGGAATTGGGGACTTGTGGAATTGGGGACTTGTGGAATTGGGGACTTGTGGAATTGGGGACTTGTGGAATTGGGGACTTGTGGAATTGGGGACTTGTGGTATTGGAGACATGTGGAATTGGGGACTTGTGGAGTTGGGGAGTTATGGAATTTGAAACTTGAGAAATTGGAATTTATGGAATTTGGAAATTCTGGAAATCTAAAAATCTAAAAATATAAGAATATAAAAATTAATTGATACTAGAGAATTCAGAGCTTCATCCCACTAAAAATATCCAAATTCCCAAATTTTTGTTAATTACACGAAATGACCCGTCTCTTCCACGCTCACGGATCAAAAGGTCAGCAATCGAGAGACATACAAAAAAGTCTCCAACCAAAAAATGAGTCTAAAGCGAGCAAAAAGAACGTGGCCGAAAACGAGCAATGAAGTTGATAAATTTGATTAAAGCAGCTCCGTATCCGAAGGTCCCCTAAGTACCATATTTTACCGCCCTGTCAAAGGTGTAGTTAAATTTAGCACAGTCATAAGTACGACAGAACATAAATGATGGTATAAAGCCTTGTTATCTGCGATGTTAAAAGCTTTGAAATTTACGTGACACGTGTTTGCATACATTACGAAATCATAACTCGCCTGAAATCGAGACAACGTTAGAATTTAATCGATCATCACGGGTTTCACACGGAAACAACAAAAGAAGAAATACCCCATTTAATGACGGGGACATTCTGTCACGATGAGACTCGATAATTTCGCAACCTTCGTCCTTCGAGCACCGTTATGAAGAAGAAAATGACACATTAAAATACCTTTTCGTCCTTCCTCTTCAAATTTAATTGCTTCCTTTTAACCGGCGTCCTTGCACACGTGAAATTGCGAACCGTTCGAATTGCGAGGTTAACTTTAATAAATGCCTGTCTGGGGAATTCGCAATTTCGATTACAGTTTTTCAGACACCTTTTTTACGTGAAGGTGTTTGATAAATGATAAGGATCTCACCGAGGATTCACCTTTCTCCAGCGAATGCAATTAAGGTCTACGTTCTTCTCTGTCGTACGTAATGCTTGACATTTTAGATAATTATTTAAAATTCTCCGATGTACATTGCTAATCAGGCTAATTTCTCCATCCATTTGTTTGCCACTGCTTCTAAGATTTTTTCGAACAGAGTCTTCAAAAATGGAAAAAAAGCCCAAAATAAAATACTCCAAGTAAAAAATATATCAATAAACCCAAAAAAAAGAGCATGGTTAAAACTATAAGAATTTCGGTAAAAGTAAAATTTTTAAAGTCAGGCATTTTGTCTTCTCAATTGACTTAATGTACAAGTTGTAATATAATTTTGCTGCAATATTATGCAGCTTAACAGAACTTCACTCGGAAAGTGTTTACTCTTCGAAGCTTTCGAGCGGAGGCTTCAAATACGGAAGAAAAACCAGAAATAAACTATTGCGGCCACAAAGAATATTAATGCACCCGAACAAACGAGCGCAATTATAATTAAGAGTATTTTGGTAAAAGAACAGTTTTTACAGTCAGGCATATTATCTTTTACGTAACTAATATTTTATTAATTTTTGCTGCAATGTTATGCAGCTTGATAGAACTTCACTTGGAAAAACGTGTTTACTCGTTTTGCACTGGCTCGTCGTCAATTTCACTAGGAACTGAGCACACTTCGTGCGTTCGTCCGAAGGCGGATGCGATCCATATTTTCATGGTCACATGGATTTGTTCCAGACTTGTGTCCGCCAATTGTTATACGTAGTTTGTTTTATGTGACCTTTTGTGGCAATATCCTAAACAGCGGTAATTGGTACGCGTGTCATCTGCATGACTAGGAAATGAAATTAATAGAAGGCGGTGAACATATGTTACATATGTTGTGTGTGTGATATAAACTTGATATGTTACATATGACACATGCTTGTAATGTAAGTTTGATATGTTACGTATGTCACATGAGTATAATATAAACTTGATATGTTACATATGTCACATGCGTATAATATAAACTTGATATGTCACATATTCTATACATGCGTATAATATAAACTTGACATGTCACATATTCTATACATGCGTATAATATAAACTTATATCACATATATCACTTAAGTATAATATAAACTTGATGTGTTACATATATCACAAGAGTATAATATAAACTTGATATGCCACATATATCACATATATCACATGTGTATAATATAAACTTGATGTGTTACATATGTCACATATGTCACATGTGTATAATATAAACTTGATGTGTTACATATGTCACAAGTGCATAATATAAACTTGATATATTACATATGTCATGTGTGTAGAATATAAACTTCATATGTTACATGTGCTACGTGTGTATAATATAAACTTGATGTGTTACATATATCACATGCGTATAATATAAACTTGATATGTTACATATGTCACATATATCACATGTGTATAATATAAAGTTGATATGTTACATATGTCACATATATCACATGTGTATAATATAAACTTGATGTGTTACATATGTCACAAGAGTATAATACAAACTTGATATATTACATATGTCATGTGTGTATAATATTAACTTCATATGTTACATGTGCTACGTGTGTATAATATAAACTTGATATGTTACATATATTACATGCGTATAATATAAACTTGATATGTCACATATTCTATACATGCGTATAATATAAACTTGACATGTCACATATTCTATACATGCGTATAATATAAACTTGATGTGTTACATATGTTACATGCTTATGACGTAAACTTGATATGAATCAATTTTACAGTGACGTCACACTATTACACCGAACTCAATTAGCACATATGCCACATATACCCACTTAGCACGTATGCAATATCGAAGTACATGTGTCGAGTACATGAAAAGAAAAGTTTACAGCAACGTGTCCATGGTAGTAGAGATGGGGTGCCATGGTAAACGTCGTGTGACGTAATTGCGGAGAAAGTGGAGGCAGAACATGGTCCTACGAGCGGACATCTTGGGTGCTACCAGCACATCGGTGCCGGAATGCGAAAAAGCGAAATGCGTTCGAAGGTGGATCACGAATCGATTACGTAAAACGATTTCGAACCGCCCAACGAATTCAATAAGGTGAAGTTACACCCGGACGAAAATGGATCTGTTAACGTGTAATTGAAGAATCGTGTAGAATCGTCGAGACGAGGCGCGCGAGATGATACGTTTTTCAGATATCCGAGATCGTCAACAAAGGAAGACGGTATAATTAAAAAATTTGATACACCGATGTTCAAGTTGGAGGGAATGATTTATGGATTAATTAGTGCTCTTCTGTAAAGTACGTGATATTGTATTGTACACTGAAGAGAATAAACTTGTGTAATTTTTAATAAATTTGAACAATTTTAAAGAATAAAGTTGTACAATTTTTAATAACTTTAAAGAATAAATTTGAATAATTCAAAAAAAAAATTTGAACAATTTAAAAAAATTCAAACAATTAAAAAAAATTAATGTGAACAATTTTAATAAATTCAAACAATTATAAAAAACTAATATGAACAATTTGAAACAATTCAAAAAATTTCCAAGAACAAATTTTGTACTTCAATAAAATTTCCAAGAACCCAAATAAAAATAATATTCAGATAAAGAAGTATAAACGTGTCGTTCCGCTAATTATCTCCTTCGAGATTATTCAATTAATCGAACCAGATAAGCATTAAAACAAAAATTAACAGATCAAACAGGTACATCAAAAGCACACTCAAACCACCTTACTTCGATCCACATAATTCATCCGAGAATCCGTAAAATCACTTATAAACAGAATCCAGAAAATGAAGTTTACCTTCGGTCCATAATGGTCACGTGCATAGGATCGAGTGTGCATAATCGTTGCGTGTATTACGAGTCAAGTATGTATATATATGTATGTCGTAAATTATCCTGTGAAATTCTTATCTCATTGCATCAACCAAGGAGCTGCTAGGACCTTGACAATGCAGCCTCCTTCGGGTCTTTATGTATAGAGTTACAAACTTTATAAACTTCTACCATTTCAGATGGGGATTAAGGTGCTTTAGGCTGGTGTGTAGCTCATTGTGGAACAGGGCTTTGGGACGTATGTGTGGATATGTGGATATGTTGGGGATGTAGGGATGTAGAGGTGAAGAGATATGAAGGTTGATAGATAGAGAGATATAGAAGTAGAAAAATGATGATATAGGGAGATGTAGAGATGTACACATAGAGTATCTAACTACACAATTTCACAAGTTTACAATTTCTCAAGTTTCCAATACCACCAGTCCCCAATTCCATCAGTCCCTAATTCGACAAGTTTCCAATTCCATAAGTTCCCAATTCCACAAGTCCCCAAAATCACAAGTCCCCAATTCCATGACTCCCCAATTTCACAAGTCCCCAATTCCACACGTCCCCAATTCTTCAAGCTTCCAATTCCACCAGTCCCCAATTCCATAAGTCCCGAATTCCACCAGTTCCCAATTCCACAAGTCCCCAATTCCATAACTCTCCAATTCCACAAGTCCCCAATTTCTCAAGCTTCCAATTCCACAAGTCCCCAATTCCTCAAGCTTCCAATTCCACCAGTCCCCAATTCCATAACTCCCTAATTCCACAAGTCCCCAATTCCATAACTCCCCAATTCCACAAATCCCCAATTTCTCAAGCTTCCAATTCCACAAGTCCCCAATTCCTCAACTCTCCAATTCCACAAGTCCTCAATTTCTCAAGCTTCCAATTCCACATGTCCCCAATTCCTCAAGCTTCCAATTCCACCAGTCCCCAATTCCATAACTCCCCAATTCCATAATTCCCCAA